TTTCAAAAGCATATTTAAGTATGTTAAATATATATATATTTAATTTTTTTTTAAAGAGAGAATTAGTAACTACAAGTAAAAAAGAAAGTGCAGATAATGAAGGAAATTTACAGTTAGAAGAACAAGAGAAAGAGATATGTAATTTAAAAGAAGAATTGAAAAAAACTAAAGATGGTAAGTTAATAGGTTTTCATAAACATTTATTATAAGATGACAATAAAATAGTTGACTTATTATTATTGCAATTAATATACTTTATATTGTAATCTACGAAATGCTTATTAAATTGTTAGAATTTGGTCAAGTTTTAATTTAAAAAAAATAAAAAAATAGTCTTGAATTGGATTAAGACTTTTGTGTAGATGAAAATACTTATTAAACTATGTCACCCTTTCCCTTTAGACTTGACAAAATTTTGAACTTCAGTTTTACATTGTTAATTATTGACTTAGTTTTTTCAATAAATGTTAGTTTATTTGATTTTTTTTTCTCAATTGATGGTGTCACATTTCTTAGTAATTATTTGTTTTTCAGAAAAATATGATTACTCAGCTGATCTTAAAAAAAAAATAAAACAGTAGCTACATACGCCTTTTAAGAAAATTTTCATATTTTATATACTGTGCTTATTAAGCACTAGCAACTCATCATAAGTAAAAAACAAATTTTGATTTAAATGTGATGCATCTTTTTTAACTTACTTCTCAAAAAATTTATCATAATTTGATATTTCAAGTATTCAACCTGAATGACTCAAATATTTAATAGTAAAAGTCTGGCCAGGAGCAAAAATTTCCCCATTCAGTACTATTATTATATTAGAAAATCATAAATAATATTTTTGCTGTCTTTAATATTTTCTTAGATATGATTTACATTATATATATATATATATATATATAAAGTATNAATTTATAGTAATTTATAACTATTATAAGAAAGCAGTGGTAGATTAAGGATTTTTGAAGTTGACTGACTAGTTGGATAATTGACAATGATCGCTATGGAAACATGACAGAATCAGTCTGATTAGTCTGACAGGTTAAAGAGTGAACACATTTTTAAGGCTGCTTTACAAGATGTAACTGTTACAAACATTTTGTCACACCCAAAAATACATTTATATTTGTCAGCAATTTCAGATGTTTACATGATGCACTGGAAAACAACTTTAAAATTGTTCTGACTTGTGAGCATGCACAAGGACATGCTCACATGTGCATTCATTTCTCTCAAGAGTGGTAAGAACTTGATCCAACATGGATCATATTCTTACCATCCTTGTAATTCAGAGTTTTATCTTTGATTTGTTTGACAATGCAACAAGGAGCAAAAAATCTGATACATTAGATTTTCAGTGACACCATTGCAACTTGAACCAAGTGTGCCAATAAGTCACAAGTTTGTTCAAATGAGGCAAATCCATGTATGTTGCTGTTTCAAGCAGCAAACTGTCAACAGTAGTCATATTGTGTAAACCAGCCCTTACATATACCCAGTTTTTAAGCAATATTGTTACTGGAGTTCTTGGAAAAGTGGAAAGGGATGAGACTCCCAATGACTTGCATGTTTCATGTGGAGCACTAGACATGTTAGAAAAGATTAATCTAATGGATTGTAAAATTAGGCATTCCTTATAGAATAAATGTAGCTGACTTTTGGGTCTTTCTAAGCAGAAAACATATGAAACACAGTAAAGTATGCTTGCAGGGATTGGCAGATTAGGCAGGGAGGCAAAGCAAAAGTGATTTACTCTTTTACTGAAATGTAACTTGTTTTTATTTTAGTGAAAAATGTGATATAGCTAGGGCCTAGAGTTTACCAAATTGGGGGCACCTGCACCAGTGTACAATCTGCATATGCATTGTAAGAAAGTAACAATAATTAAATGCTTGCATGCTTCACATAGTTTAAAATGTTTTCTACAACAGTATCTATTTATGCGTATAATTTCACTTTCTTTTTTCTTTTCGTAAAAGGTAAAAATTACTTTCAATGTAAGATATACTGTATATAAATTTCATTTGTTAAAAAATTTTTTGACCTTGTAATTGCTTATAATTTGATTGTGTAACATGATACTTCAGTACTTTAGTTATAATTTTTATAATTAATTTAGTATTCCTCTTTAATATTAATAAAAAAAGTAAAGAATCTATGATTTTTCTTAAACAATATAAATTTTAATAATAATAAAATTTAAAAAAAATTAGTAGATAAAAACATGGAATATAAAAATACAGAGAAGGTAGAATTATATTGGTCATGTGAGACGATAAAATGATATAAAATGAAAAAAAAAAATTAAGAGTAGCATGCCAAAAATAATAAATTAATTTTTATTAATTAACATAAATTAAAATAATTAATTTCTGCCAAAACATCATTTTTATTTTTTGGCAGAAATATTTTGATTTCTTGACAGTTTTTTATCTAACTAGAAACTTTCCAAGAAACTAGATTACAATATTATTATTCTGTTTTGTCAAATTTCTACAGTATTAAATTCAGCTTTTTATGAACTGATTTTGATATATAGACATTTGATATAAAAAAAATGTATATGCAGATGGATAAACAGGCATAGCATCATTACTAATAATGATAAATATCAACTATTAATCCGATCAAATCAGTTCGGTAGACTATCATATACAGCTGTATATGATAGTCTACCGAACTGATTTGATCGGATTAAAGAGAGAAATTCGCAACGAAATAGCAGCTACCATAAGTGATATTTTGAAAAAATCAACTATTAAAACAAAAGCTATTTGACAAATGATTTTGCATAAAATATCCTTCTATTACTGTAAGGAATGTGTTTGATCTGGTCCTCATAATTTTGTGTTATTCATATCAAAGCATTTTCATTTCCTACCAATGCTAATAAGGCTCCCTTGTAATGGACAAAATTGAGCAAGTCATTGTTTTCTAATTCAGCATAAGACTTATAATTGTTACAATTTAGGTTTGCTTATATTGATGTGTAATTTTATGAAATATTCTTATTTTGAGTTATTCTTAATGAAATTCTGGGTTATAAAATTGCATATTATAAGTATTTAAATGCAGTTATATAACTGAATTTAAATACTTTTATATTGGCAAAATAACTTTTCCATTAATGTAATTGTCAGAATATGGATATGATGAAGGGTGGTGTCGAGGTAAGACAAAGAATGAGAGGACTAAAAAGAAATGTATGTTAGAGCACAACACACATTTAAGACCAACTAAAGTCAAAACCCAAGTACCACTTCTCTTGACAGAGTTTACATAACTCAACTCACGCCTCACATAGCAGAGGAGAGGGCATAACGATTACAAGGACAAAGGTCACATTCACAACTTCCTAACAGTAATAAATATTAAACCAATGAATTTGTTTTCTATTGGTATTTTTTTTTTTTTGTAAAACATTATTAAGCATATGAAAATTTGAAATTTATTATCACAATATTCAAAATATGCAAATTAAGCACAATATACAGTCGACCCCCCTATAATTACGGTCCCTATAGTTACGATTCCTATAAAACTACGAAAAAATTGCTACCGGTATTCGTAAAAAATAGTAAAAGTTCCCTATAAACACCTCAAACGTCATCGGGAAGCCAAACTACTTTCCCGCCGTCCGTAGCGCCACGCTACGGAGAGATTTCTATCGTCTGGACAGTATTATATAAATTATATATAAATTAGGTACTGTACATATAATTATATATTAATTATATATAAATTAGGTACTGTATATATAATTATATATTAACTTATTGTAACTTTGTTATAATTAAATATATAATTTCCGCCGTCTAGCGTGGCGCCACGCTACGGAGATTTTTACGCTAACTATCGTCTGTCAGTATGTAAATTAGGTACCGTAAGTCTAATACAGTACTGTAATTTTATACATTTCTTGTGAAAGAAACATTTCTTATTCAACGGCGATTAAAATTATTTATATTAATGATGTCTCCGAAGTTCTACGAAGTTTTCACAGAAAAATAAGTTGTTAGAAATCGGCCGCTCTTTGCTGAGCTGTTCCGCGACGAAAACAATGTTGAGCAATGGCAATGTCGAATGGTGACACTCGGTAAGTAATCCTACAATTTTTTGTTTATAGCGTAGTTTATACGGATTATTCCCAAAAAATATATACGTATTTTGGAAATGTTGAGTCGGATTAGTCTAGAATCGATTAATTTTATGGAAGAAAATCTTTCAAACAGCCGTAGTCCGTAAACTTGATACGTGTCGGGTTGTGATTGGAAGGATTCGTAAGAAAGCGGATTCCTAGAGAATGGAACGTATCTCTATCTTATAGGGGGGTCGACTGTATTCCTTTAATATTTTAAAATTTGACTCTGAAAATTGATAGAAGTGAATAAAGTTGAAAAATTGATATTATTACCTGTAGATGTGTTATTAGCACAAAATAATTTAATAAATAATTTTTTGTTATTTTTAGAACTGAATTTAGCAAAAATAGATTTAGATGCAATTAGAGAGCAATCCAAAGGACTTTCTCGAGAATATGATCGTTTACTAGAAGAATATAATGAAACACAGGTAAAAATAGTTAAAACTTTGTTAATGTTAAATGCAAATACATAGAATCATTTTTAAAAAATTCATACATTTTGTAGATTTCATAATTAACTTAAATTGATTTTTTTTAAATATTCTATGGTTAAAACATTGATAAAACTATTTCTTTTTAATACTTAAATCTTTGTTGTCTTCTAAACATGAATGCAGAACCAATGCATGACCTGATGCAATGATTTTTAGTTTTTACAATGATATGCACTCCAAGTGACTGAAGCACACTATTTCAGTAATAAACTTCTATAAAAATACACATTGATGCTATTATAAATGTTTACTATTTACATTTAGTAAATCACTTCTGACAAATATGTCAGAATGACTTACAAAATGTATGTCTTGATAATATTTCAAAATATAAATAAATGATCTGTAATAAAATTATCGAAAGTACAGGTATTCCTCATATAACACAGTAGATATGTTCTGAAAAAGTGCTATACAAAACAAAGGACCAATGCAAAACATAGGGTTATGTTCCAGAAGTTAACAAAAAGTATATTATTATTTTTTGCTAATAAGAGAAATATGTTTATTAAAGCAATCAATATATTATTTCCAATCAATAATTAATTAACAATCACAATACTAATACACAATACAATACTTTTAATTAAATTTTAATTTAAATGAGGTTGTTTTCTTTTTTCAATGTATTGCCATCTTCTGAGCTTTATTGGTGATCTTGATCAGAAGTATCAGCAACCTCTTCATTTTTTTTATTTTTATTATAATTTTCTATGGATGACAAAATAAAAATGTTATCAGTTGAAAATTTGTTCTTGTAGGTCACATTTGTTCAGTCGAGTACAGAGCAATATTTCAAATTTGAAAAAAAAAAAAAAAAATTCAAATTTGAATTTTTCCAGTTTGGAACAGTTTGAGTATGGAGATACCACTGTATTTCATTCATCATTTTTACAAATGATTATGTACTGTACCTGCAGTTAAAAAAAAAAACTTTAAATTTACTAAATACAAAGACTGTCATTGTGTTTTGTTTTTATAGATTAAAGGCTAAAGTCTGAAAGCAACAATAATGACACCTGGTTAATAGGAAAGCAAGGACAAGGGGAAAAAAATTCTACTATCAGTTTTCATTAAAACTAAACCTGACATAAGGCACAAAACAAAGTTGAAAATTTCAATATTCTAAAATCCATGAGCAAATTTTGGACAAACCACATGCTTACTTAAATAAAAAATGATCAGATAACAGAGTTTACACTTAAAATTGTGAAATTTTGTACAGAGGATTTCCAAAACTGTGTTAGAGCAAATCCAGAAGTCATGTTATACGAGGGATACCTGTATATCACTAAATAGTTCTATTATATATTAGATAAAAGTAATATCTTCTTTCTAGAAAGAATTAGTTTTGAGAATTGTTAATGTCTGCCATTCAATATAAGGTTTTACCATATGATTATAAACTTAAGAGGTCTTATGAGATTTATTAATGTCATTTTTATCAGATAATAATAATAAAATATATTTTATAATTTAAAAATTCCTGGACTAGCAGGAGAATCTTTGGCTATAATAATTAACTTTAAGATCTTATTTCATTATAAAATAATTTTTTAAATCAATTTTCAGAGTCAATTGGAGCAGTTAACTGGAATAAAAGAAGATAAAAAAGAAAACTGAGTTTGCAACAAAGAAATTTAAAATTTTTCTCCAAAGTGCTTGGAAAGTAATAGTGCTAGAATTTCTCTGTTTATGAATATTTACAAAAAATATTGTAAAATATTTTTTATAATCTCTTATCTAAAAATTGAAATAATTTGTTAAAAATTGTGAGATATTTATTTTTAGTTGTACTTTATCAGAATCTGGTAAAATTTTGTTTATTGTTTAAATTGTCATTTTAAATCTGCTCTTTATTTACTTGTTATTAAGGCGGTTAGTTGTCATGTCATTTGAATGTTGTTTCTTTAATTTGGTTTTACAAAGACATGAAGAATTTTATTTATTATAAGTTGAATGGAATGAAACTTGTTTAATATACAGGTAGCCCTTGGTTTACGCCGATTCACAATAATGCTGCTGCACAATTTGCTGTTTCACTGTGTAATTCCCTGATTTTTCCTATGCTAGATTTGACTAGGTTTTGTCCAGATTTGACCAATTTTAGCAAGACACGTGTCCACTACAACAACACGTGTCATGGTAGAATTGTGGCTCGTTGGGATTGGTCAGATCTAGATCAATAGAAAATGTTCCACAAACCATTTGATTTGAATGAGCTGCAGACCCAACATAGAGCTACAGAAGAACAATGAAGAAGAAACACCAAGAGTTATGAAAACCGCCAATCTAAAGCGTATCCTTTCAACTATGGAAAGTTTGACAGATGAACTTTGTGAGTTAGGCAATGATTGGGAGCATCATCACATCCATTTGACCATATTCTGAAATTCTTAATGAAATAAAACAAAAATGTAAACAATTAAAGATGGATACTTTTTTCCGAAAAATGTAAGTGATCCGAAACTAAAATTTTTTAATAAAAATATTTCACTTTATTTTATGATAAAATACATTTTAAAAATTAAATTTATATGTATTTTGTATTATATTGTATTAATAAACAAAATTATTTGCTTATTTTTCACTTAAGTAGAACCTAACCCTATACCTCACTGTAAATATGGGTTCATTTTACGCTGATTCAATTTGTGCCGGCTTTTGTAGGAATGGAAGTGCGGCATAAACTGAGGGCTATCTATATATATTTTGAAACAGGTCTATATCTAATTAATCCTTTGGCAATTACAGCTGATCTCAGATACATTCAGAATAATTTTTTAAATATCTGTTTTGAAATGACATAAAATTTAACAATTTTCAGTAGCTACTCTTAAGGGACTGGCAAAATTGATTAGCTAGCATTGCTTCATTAGTTACTTTTTGTTAGACAAACTGCCTGTCTTTCTCAACACTAATGATACTGCAACCTATTAGTTTATTATTTTTTTATTTTTTGTTTTCTGTCTGAAAATGGAGAATATTGCATATTGAACTGACATTGAGATGGACAATGAATAATTGCAGCTGATGTTACTTGAGTCAGATGATTGAATATAAAAATGATAAGAGTGGAAGAATGCAGACAATTCTGATTTTGAACAAGTTATCATTAGCATTAAAACTTGGTTAATTCAAATTATCCAAAATTCAAAGTAAGTATACTGTATCTGTATTATCCCAGTTTCTTGTTAAGCTTAACACCTGAGCAAATAGTGAAAATCGAATGCAAATTTTGAGCAACCAGTCATTTACAAGCAAGAGGGAAACATTGTCTGTTATGTTTTGTTTTTAACCACTGTTGTATATTTGTTACAAAAATGAAAGATGTTGGGTATGAGAAATTTTAAAAGGTGTGAATTGAAGAATATGCTAATTTTGATGTCTATCTGTTGTGTGATGATTTTGTAACCATCTTAAAAACCATTAGAAATACCTGACAACAAATGACAATGCAAGGGTCATACTACATAGTGCCATAATCACCACTTGGTGATATTTTTATTAAAGTGGTGATAAGAACCCTAATCTGCTTCAACATTCAGCATAAAATTAAATCACAAATAACACTTCAGGAAAAGCAGCATTTGTGCAATGGGAGGGCCGTGCATCTTGCACCTAGTGATTTGATGACATCGTGTGGTAAGTTCGTGCAGAAAAATAGAAAGTGATGTTGAGAACCAAAGGCAGTTTTGTGCAATGCCTCTCAGTGTTTCCAGATTGGGGATTTTTTATCAACTGACAGAAAATTTGGGGAATATTTTGGGGTGACTTTTTTCACTTTGATCCATTTTCAGTAGACTAAAACAAAAATTTTGACATGACAGAACTTGTAAAATACTGTTTAAACATTATGATCAAATGTGTTCAGAAATATTCATTAAAAAATTATTCAAGAATGATTCCTATTGTTAACAAGGAGAGGGCCATACGTTCGGGACTCTGATTCAAACAAAACTTGGTGAGTATGTAGCCTTAAGCACAAACATTTCTTTGTGCAAATAATAGGACCCACTTCTCAAGCATTTCTCAAAAGTGGGCCTCTGAAAATTTAGTGTTTAGCTTATGTCTTTGAAATATCCACTTGTCTATTACTGCTCAGACAAGTGCTAGGCACTGGAGCTAGACAATGAAACTTTAGAATTTTAGTTTAGTTTTGTAGTTTTTTTTTGTGTGTAACTCTATTAGTTTACTGCATAATCAGCATTATTATTACTATTAATATTCCTCATATTTAAAGTTTATAAAACAAGAATTTTTAAATTATGATATCATTTTCTTTTAGCAAAAACAAACCTCTGTAGATTTTTAATTAACTCTTTTACATTGTTAAATAAGACTTTTATTTCTTCACATATATTTTCACATAGTATGTCCTCACAAATGAATAAGTTTCAGATGTTACTGCACATGGACAAAAAAGACAAGTGATGTGAAAATAGGGTAGAATAGCCTGAGTTTTATTTGTTTAATTGTTAATATTATAGACAATTTTCTCATGTGCTTGTTTGTTATGCTTCAAATATATCAATACCACCGTATCTTAAATAAAAATCGTATTTCTTCATATTTATTTTAACCTAAGAGTTAATAATCTAAGACTTTCATTTCCTATTTATCGAAAATGTCACAAATTTTTAATTTCTTATGTTTTAAACTTTAAATGTGAGGAATAATAATGAAGTAAAATAATAAAAGAATGTTACACATAAAAAGAAACAATGCAACTAAAATTCCGAAGGTTTGAACCTACATTGTCTAGCTCCAGTGTCTAGTATCATATCCACATGTAAATTTTACTAGTGACAGATTAACAATTTAAAAATTTTACAGGAGTTGCTCAAGTTTCTTTTGTGAATCAATCTGAATTGTAAATTAAAATATTGAAAATATCACATAATGAAAATCTATACATCCTACAAATAATGCAATTTTGTCTGTGTCACAGACACAAAATATTCTTTACAATGCTTTAGTTAGCTCAGAATTAATTAATTACAGTATATTGCATTCATAACTATCTAGAAACTTCTTTCTTAATAAACTTTCCTTTTCAGAGGGGACAGCTTCCAAATTGCAGATGATAATGCTTTTTCATCTTCATCAAATTCATCATTTTCAATTTCCAAGTTTTTCCCAATTTTATACCATTTGCATATATTTTTATTTGGTGTCCTAATCAAAGACACATGCATCTTTCACAAATGTAGCATCGAGTCCCTCATGTTGGATGATATTCCTAGTTTTTTATTTCTTTTCCAAAAAAGAAAACATCTTGCCACTGTTCCCCTTTTGGTCTTTCTGCTGACGGATGTGTTTTGATTTTTCAAAACATTCCAATGCACTTTTCAGATGCATCATGCTACTCCTTTCAGTGACAACAGCCAGCTGATTTTTCACTTGTTACAAGTTGCGAGTTTCCGGCTAAGCTGTTCTTTGACCACAAGGAGGCAATCTTTGCAATCAAGAAGCTGTTTTTGGCAATGGATAACTTCATCTTTTTGGATATTCATTTTCTGCAAAAATGCCTCAGAATTCTTCTCTGCATCTTTGCATTTATTTTGTAATTCAGCCTGGTCACTTTGTAGTAATTTATTAAGCTTCTCGATGTCATTTCTCTGTGTCTGCAGTTCCTTGATTGTTTCTTGCATTAAATTCTGCTTTTTCAGCAGCTCTCGATGTTGCTGATCCCACTCACACCACTCCTTTTCAAAATGCCAATTTCAGATTGTAATAATTCCATGATATCATTTTCTGCCATGATGTGTTTTGGTTTTCCTTGCACTTATGCATGAAGCAATTCTAACTCAGTGTTTCCACATATCTATATTACTGCTCAGACAAGTGAAACTTTCAAAGATTTATAAGCTAAACACTGAAGTTTCAGAGACCCATTTTAGGGAAATGCTTGAGAAGTTTGTCCTATTTGTACTAGATGTTGTGCTTCAGGCTATGTGCTCACCAAATTTCATTAGAATCAGAGACCCAAATGTCTAGCCCTCTCCTTGTAAGTGATAACTTAATGTGTTACTTTTACTTTCCAGATGCCAAACTGCTAAGGCTGTCAGGCCTGCATTAATTAATAAGTAAAACTGGTGGTAAAACTTAATAATTTAAAATTATTAAGTAAATAATTTGAAGTGGTGAATAAAAATTTAAAACACGTGAATGGTTGGCAATATTTTAAAATTTTCCAGAGTGATCCCTGCGAAGTGATTGGTGGCAAAATTTTTCTGCTCGCTTAAAAGTTTCACAGTTCCAAACTCTGAGCAATTCTTAAAATGATAAAATTTACCAGAAACAATATCATGTATGATGTGTTGTTCACTTTCTTTTTGCTTTTTCCAGTGATTCACTTTTGGTTTGAATTATTATTGTTGATGTTTAGTCATTCTATGATTGTAAAGAAAACAAACAAAAGAAAACACAATTGCAATACTGTATTTTATTTGAAAAAAATTTAACTTTTATTTGTTTCTTTTTGCTTGTTTTTACATGATATAAATATTATGGATCTCATCTTCCATTCTCAGGGTTTTTTTTTATAAAACCCAGAGAAAGAAAGGTGTGATCCATAATATTTGTTTAAGCTTCTACAAATCATCATACTTTTTCTAGCATGTCCACAGCTTCTACAGTTGTTGGCATAGGGATGTGTTTTGCATAAATAGGTTCATTTTCATCTTTATCAGAAGATTCCATAACTATTCCTCATTCTTCAACAATTTCTGTGTCTGTAAGTTGTCCACAAATTGCAACTTTATTGTAAACATTTATGTAGGAGTCATAAGTGATGTCAGCTGCTATATTAACCCACCATTCTGGAACTGACATCACTATAGGTTCTTCTTGAATGATTTCAGTCACTTTCTTGATTGACTAAAACCTGCTTTACAAAAATAATTAGTGATCATCTGTGGTGTGATTTGTTACCATGCTTCACTTATCATTTAAGCTACTTCAAGGAGATCAGTTTTCATTTGTGTATTGGAATCTATGTTTTCAGAGATTTTCCAAACCCACTTGATGATACAAATATTTGATATTTTGAATGACACCTTGATCCATTGGTTGCACAATGGAAGTCATATTAAATGGAAAACATGCAATTTTAATGTATTTCAGCTAAAGAATGTTATGATGGACAGTGCAATTATTGATAAATATTAAAACTTTCCTATTGGCACTGTAAAATGTTTTTTATCCAATGCTACAAGCATTTTTGAAACAGTTTAGTCATCCAAGCCTTTTTGAAACAGTTTAGTCATCCAAGCCTTTTTGTTGGATTTGTACTGTATAGGTAAACTACTCATAGATTTAAACATCTTGGTTTTGCAGATTTTCAAATCATTAACATTTGTAGTTTTTCAGAGCTGCTCATGTTATTTTTTCTTTGCTGTTTTTGGCACCACTGCATCACCTAATTTTAAAGAGGACCATTTTGCCTGGCTTACACTTGAAAAAAAAACCTGTTTTGGTTCATAATCAGCAAGAAGTTTTGGCAATCCATTAAACCTTTCATCTCCCTTTTCTTTATCTACCAATGCACTTTCACCAGAAATATTTCTATCAATAAATGTTAAATTATTTCTAGCTTTAAAATCATCAAACTAACCAAATCTTGCTTTAAAATCAGTAATTTCTATTTTGTTCGCAAACTCTTCCACTTTGGTGCATATCAGTGGGTCACTTAAAGGTACATTATGTTCTTGTAATTGTTGAAACCACTTTAAAACATTTGTCAATTTCAGAATACTCAGCTCCCCTCGTAAGTTTTCTGCTGGCACCATTTTGTTTATTCTGACAGTCTATGATTTTAGTTTTATTCTTTAGGAAAGTTGATAGTGCTAGAAGATATGCCATATACTTTGACAATATCACATTTCCTTTTCACTCCTTTTTCTCTCCAGAGTTATAGAATTATCGTATGATAATTCTATAACTCTGATAACTCTAATTATCTGATGATGCTTGCACATGATACAGTACAGTAAAAAATGAACTAAACTACAGTACACCACTATCCAAAATACTGTACAGTAAATGAATAGAACAATAGGCCTACAGTATGTACTGTACTACACTAAACAATTAGAGATGAATCACTAGCACATAATATGATGCATTGGAAATTTCAAACACAGTGTGTGTTTCACAACAGTGGGTCACCTATTACTTTCTATTTCTCTCTCATTCCCGCTTTCATTGTACTTTATATAGCTTATCAGTAAACTGCAAAATATGACACAAAAGTAGAAAGGATCCCTGCATGCAGTCATCCTTTCTACTTTTCATGGAAACATATTCAGCAAAGGGAAACTCTAGTAATTTTTAAAATATAAGGATGCTTCAGCTTTGAATTATCTAAAAATTAGAAGAAAGAAAAATTGAATTAAACAGGCAATTTTAACAATACATGTAATAAGAAACTCAAGGGGAATTTGTAAAAATTGAATTAACCAAGTTTGATTCTATTAGCATAAACAGTCAATATTCTCAGTTTATGAAGTGAAACACAGTCTTGTACAATTTTTTAACTGTTATATTAAGTTGCAAAAAATACATCATTATAATTAAAGATTTTTGCAGCAAAAAAAAAAAGATAACAATTATTAACTAAACTCAACATCTAAATATTTTCTGAAAAAATTATTCCTATATGTCATATTCATTAATTCAGCCTTTATAAATTGAGAGTCTAAAAAAGGTTCTCAACCTTTTTCTCATTGTAGACTGGTAAAATTATGGATAATTTTATGTGGATCAGTAATTATATGCGACTATGAATTATGCTTATTTATTACACTTGTATTATGCTTTTCTAGAGTTACAGTATATAACAAAGTATGTACAGTAACTCTAGATTACAATTTAAATGTTGCTGATAATCAACTGCAGCCATGTCAGTGGTCAAATATTTTTCTGCAATTGAGAAACACTAGTCTAAAGCATATTTATTGATGTGCCATACTTTGTATATCAGATTAATGCAATGTAAAATAATAAAATTTATTTATATAAAGAATCTATAATTATATCATACTAAAAGAATTAACTGTAAAGAAAAATTTCATGAAATAAAGTTTTATCATCTTTTAAGCACAATAGTATTGAATCTACATACTTTATATCAATACCTTGTGAAACATTTTTGTGAATGGCAGATGATTAGGTTAACCCTTGGATGCACAGATAATTCTGAATATTAAAAGTAGCCAGAGAATGCATTACTATAAATTACCATTACTTTTGCTCCATCATTTTCTATTGTCTACTTTTTTTAGGAAAAAAATGAAAAAATAGGTTCTAATGCAAACCTGAAGAAAAAAACACGAAAAAATGTGTACAACATAATGGGTTTTATACTGTTTCTTAGTTTTATGCATAAGCAGCTGAACTGTGCTTAAAAGTAATACCTGCAATACAAAATATAATAAGATTACATCTTTCTTTGTAACTAGATGAACTTTAGAAGTCAAGACCAGAAAGCATAGCTAGATAAGTGTTGAGGTCTAAAGGTATACAAGTCCCACTTCAGAGCTCTATGGAATGCATTCTACTGCTCAAAATGAGACAAAATTTGAACTACAGATAATCCAAATGATGTGCTTGACATTTCTTAAATAAAAAAACAGTACAAAAATCTGTCAATAGGTGGTGCTAGGGCACACAGAAATAGTGAATATGCATGCACATATAAATGTTGAATATGTAGCATTAAAACTGCTCAATATGTCCTCCTCCATTTTGAACAATGTGCTCTAATCACAAAACCATATTTTCCACAGCTGAATGGAGTGAGTCTGCCGGAATATCCAGAACTTGGTGCTGAACGCTGTCATTCAGATCTAGCACAGATGCAGGTCTTCTACGGTAGTCATTGTTGTTCTTCAGGAAACTCCATAACCAAAAGCTGCAAGGGATGATATCCAGCGAGCAAGGAGGCCATGCTGTAGGAAAATAATGGCCGATTACCTGTGCATCTGTGAAATGCTGTCTTAGTATGGTTTTGTTCAAAATGGAGGAAGACCTATTGAGCAGTTTTAGTGCTTCATATTCAATATTTGTGTGCTCCAGTGCCACCTATCGACGAATTTTTGTACTATTTTTTTTATTTAAGAAATGTCAAGTGCATCATTTGAATTATCTGTAGTCTAAATTTTCTCATTTCAAGTAGTATAATGCACTCCAGAGCTCTGAAGTGGGAAACTTATTTCTTGCTAACTCTTTACTTTAAAGAACTTTAAAACATTTTAGTTTTGTCCTTAATTTATCAAATTATATGATTATCATAATTTGTCCACACTGGAAAATACACTCTTGTACGATAAAGTGTATAATTTAATAATTGTATTTCTTAAATACTTAATTTAACTTGATTTTCTTGAAGCTTCTTGTCTTTTATATACATCTAGGCAATAACTATATGGAATGGAGCATGAATTTATGAAGATTTCATTTTACATGGTATCTGCTGACACACAACCCCTATACACCTAATTGTTTTTATATAAACTTTTTTAAATGATTTTGATTTAACACATGTAAAAAGAAAATTATTATTTTTTAAACAGAGTTGTTTTAATGAAATATACGAAAGGTTTTATATGAATTAACGATTTAATTATAAAAAAATTTGCACACAAAAAATGGACTAATCCAATGGTTTCACAGAAGTGTCTGAGGTCCACAAATGTTGGTTTTGTTTTGTTTCCATTTTGATGTTAGGTTTTTTTAAAAAAAGGTGTACAGTAAGATGTTGCTGTTGATAAAAAAATTTAATAAAGCTTAAACAGCAGAGTGATAATGAAGATGAGGATCCAGTTTTAAATGCAAATTTAATTAAAGGCGGTCTTGATGTAGCTAACAAATTGGGTAATCATTTTGTCAAGTATGATCCTAATGAGGAACAAACTTTAAAGTTTCAATGTGATCTGAAATCATTAATGTAGTCTTAATATTTGTTCATAAAACCACTAACATCAGCCAGTAGTTCACAGAAAAAAGTCACCTGTGAACGAAGAACACGATAACCAAAGCATTTTTAGTGATAGCAGTGATATTGCAATCATGCACAAACATTTTATTTGCTCTCACTTTCTGACATTAAATGCCTGTCTTATGTATAATTCAAAAATTGGATAGAATATGTAATGTATGTTCATTAATTTGTGTTTTTCAAATGAAATTTATGTTTGCACATAATGAATTACAGAATGTATATGAAATAACATGTAAAAAAAAATTCTATCAAATTTTAACAAGATTTTTCATATGGCTTATTTCATCCATTTTTAGGTCCATAATCAATTTTCTAATTTTCCATATACACAATATATTTTTTCACACATAATTTCCAGAACCAATTATTGTGTAAAAACAAAATTAGGTGTGTACAGAAGTATGCTTCTTTAATGGATACTCTACATACAAAATATAAAACTCATGACAAAATTATGGAAAAATTTGACACATTTGTTATTGGATTCTAAGCTATGAAACAAATTTTGATACTTTTATTTCTAATTTTTGATACTTTGATACTTTTATTTAATTTTTGATACTTTTATTTCTAATTAAAACCAAAATCCAAAAGAAAGATATTCTTGTCATTATAAAATTAAAAAGGAAAAGTTGTACACACTGCATCAAGAAGAGTATAATGATAACCTTTGATGTGAAATTCTCATTATGAAAATAATTTTATTTATGTTTACTAGATTTTGTTTGTTTATTTATACTTAACAAAATAACTGCTTCAATGATGATAATATATTTGTACAAGTTGTAATTCAAAACTATTTTTAGTTATTGAATCAAAAGTTTCCGAACGTTTTCATCTAATAAAATAGAACTAATAGGCTTTTCTAATTCTTCAGGTAAAACAGGTGGTTCCAAACTCTGACATTGGAAATTCTCACCATCATCCAAACAGCATAACAAATTATCATTCTCGTATGTTGGGAAGTAATACCTGCAATACAAAATATTATGTTTGTCAAATTTCATGGAAAATTTATCTTGATGCAACAAAGTTGAAAAATCACATGCATTAAAAATATTACAAAAAAAAAAAAAAAACATCCATGTGTACTAAGCAGCATTTTTGTATTAAAATCTAAAATAAACTATATGACAATGTTTCAGTTGCAATACTCACACTAGAAACTCATTTTAAAATCCAAATGCGATCTATAGTTTTATCCAGATATATCTGGATAAAACTATGGCAAAGTCCAACATTGGAAAATTTTCACTATTCTATGAAACTGCTCTGCCTGTATTGTGATGCATCATATTTGTGCACATTTCACATTGTGATTTATTTGTGTGTGTAGGGATTTCATGATTTTTTTAGTTTTACAAGTTGGCAGATCTGATCATACCTTGTTCATAATTTTCAATAAATGCTTTTATTCTTGAGATTACAAAAAAAGAAAAAGGTGGTCACAATGGAGAAGGCAAAAAGTATTTGATTTTTTTTTTATCAAGCCTTCAGTTGTTATTATGTAAAAGATGTTAATATTATATTTATTACTTTTTGATTAGCCTCTTTATCAATAAAATGCTAAGACTAATGAAGTCCTTGTTTATTTTTTTTGATCTCTCCAGTATTTGTCCTTCCTTGGTTACCATGTTTTGTATGATTAAGAAAGTTATTCACTCATTTGAAATGTGAACATTATTAGAATAATGCTATGCAATTAAATTTTGTGCACATTTAGGGAAATCAGGATCAGAAATGTACACTGTTATGGCAGGCTTTGAGATGAAACAATTGCATAGGGGTGTTTTTTGGCATAAATCATTCTGTGAAGGAAGGGAAAGTATGGAAGATTACATAAAGAGATACTTTCAACAAACATTGGCTGCAGTCATGTTAATCATAACATTGTCAAGGAAGACTAGAACAATGTTACTGCAATTGCAAATAATTCTATTTCCTAAAGATGATTACAACCAATAAGGCACATACATTTAGACCTTAATAACATACAAATGACAGTAAGGCCTTGTGTTCATTGGATTCCAAAAGTGTTGATGTATACAGTCAACCCCCCTATAACACTGTTGATAATTCTGTTTTATATGAATTCCATGTTGTATGAGTCACTTAAATTTTACAAATACATGTGCTGGGCTGTGAACTGATCACGTATTTGTAAAATCTAAGTGACTCATACAACATGGAATTCATATAAAACGGAATAATCAACAGTGTTAAAGGGGAGTCGACTGGTACTTGGAACTGAAAGCTAGACCAACATGGTGACATACATGGTGACAACTTTCTGAAAGCCATCATCAAGCATCTGAACATGACTGTACCACCATAAAACAGCAAGCAACGACTGCAAACATCCTTCTTCTTCACCTCCAAAGAAGGCGCAAGCTGTTACCGAGGCTGTATTTGCATTATGTTGACGACATCCTCATAGCATGGGAAGATACAGATGAGACGTTCCTCATCTTTATGCAACAACTCTCAAGTATATATCCTTCCGTCAATTTCACTTGGGAGAAAGAAACCGATGCAGCAATAACGTTCTTAGACCTGCATACACGTAAATCTTCAGAAGGACCACAATTCTCGGTCCATCACAAATCTCGCACAGCTCCACACATTATACCAGCAGAGGCCTTTCAGCCTTCTTGATACATTAATACTGCCATTGCCTCCCTTGTCAGAAGGGCTTGCTTACTATCCTCTATGCAAGAGCTGGTAAACATCGAGTTAGACATCATCAGTTTGGCGGTACGCACTGCTGGCTTTTCACATGCAAAATTTACGCATGTGCTCAATAGGGTAAAGAAAGCACTATTTCGAAGCACTACGTTATGCAGCAAGAGGGAGTTTTCGAAGGTACAAACAAACATTGTTGCCATACCTTGGACCCCTCTCTATATGCATCTGCAGAATCTTTAAGCAGCACAATCTTGTACTACCACTAGCCCCACTTCCAAGCTTACGCAAACTTATTTGTAACGATAGAGAGAAATTTTCCACTCTTGAGAAGTCAGGGGTCTATGCTGTACCTTTGGAAAATCATGCAATGGGAGTAAATGCAAGATATATCGGGGCTACTACTAGAATGCTTGCCAGCCGCCTTGATGAGCACCAAGACGATGTTATGAGGGGTAGGCACACCACTGAGCTCGCAAAAAAAGGTACTTGAGCATGGTTACAACCCGCTATGATCCCAAGCAGTTATGCTCAAGAGCTGCAAGGATCAAAAAATCATTTTCATATGGGAATCTCTCCTTACTACCACCTTGGACACTTGCAACACCCCTACACTTGATATGCCCAGTGTATGGGTCACGCTATACAAGCGTTTATTAGCACTCTCCAGTGTGCATATAGTGTAAGCCTGGTCTGCGCAAGCGCCAGCTCGCACCTCATGGAGCTAACTGCTTGTTCAGTTTTCGAATTATATTTGAATATTTGCTTCGTGTACTTAACGGCTTTGACAAAGTTTCAACTTATATTTTATGCATTCTATTCTACATCAGATTATTTCTGTTTAATTTTTTGGTAAATCTCTCTATTCACCTGAGGATGACGACTATAAGTTTGTCGAAAGTGCTTGCGATAAAAAATGTATACATGTAACGCTGAACTCAGTGTCTTTATTTTATTATACAATATTTTGGCATGATAGTCATCCTATTGATTGCACTTTTTCATTTTATACAGAAATATTCCATAGAATAAATGTTCAGTCCTGAGTGAATCATCCTGTATTTCTTTATCACAATAGTTCCTGATTACTCATATTGAATTAGAACATAGTTGAAATTTAGTAGAAATTTGTTTGTCATTACAAAAATATACCAGCATGCCTATGTACTGACAAGTATTTAGAATTATTATATAATACAGTCAAAAGAAAAATTCAGAAACAATGACAAATATTTATCAAATTGTAGTTTATATGAATGAAAGTATGGTTTAGTGTTAATAATAATAACTATAATTTGCTATTATTATTGTGAAAATTATAGTGTTAGTAAAGCATGGTTTAGCAAATTATAGTTTATATGAGGAAAGTCTGATTGTGGTTTAAATGCTATTCAATTAAATCACAATCAAAAAAACAATTATGATATTTACTTGTATTAAAATTAATTTATTTAACAATTACTAACATTTCTATAACATAATAATAAAATAGCTTACTTTGGCTGATCCCAAACTTCTTTGGATGGAATAGATGATATATGTCCTGTTTCAATCATATGGTGATTCAATTCCTTTCTTGAAGTGAAATTTTTATTGCATATAAAACAATTTTGTTGATGCATCTATTAATAGAAAAATATCTGAATGAAATTTCTTAATAGATTCTATTTCTTTTTTTAATATGCATTATGATGATAATTCGGTAATCACTGGGTATGTCATCTTTATGCAAATAAAGTGTGACTTTTTACACTAACTTTTCCAGTAAGCTTTTGGTATATTAGAGTGAGAAATTAGTATCCTTTGTAAAAAAAATCTAAATTCTTTTTAAAAAAATACTACCACTTGGCATCATAAAATTTCAGAAAAGCTAATAAACTTGATTTTTACAAGTTTTCCAAAACAAAACCAAAGACTTTTCTAGTACCTACAAAATCACTTGCAGAAAGTTGAATTAGATTTTATCTGTTTATTCCAATATATATAAATTTTGCTGTTCACAGATTGTACTGTATAAAATGTTCAATTGCAATTAACAAATATTGTACAATAGGAGAACTTGGAAGTAAATAACTGAATTTTATTTGTTTATTCTGGAAGTTAGCAGGTCTGATCATATTCCAAATAATTTTCTCAAGAACTTACTTTGATGCAATAAGTTTATGAAACTTGTAAGTTTTTGAGAAAATTATTAGGAACACCTGCCAACTTTTGGAATTGAAAAATAAGGAAATCTTTAAATGCAAATGCAGAGCCACCAACTCCCAGAATTGAAAAAAATCTGCAACTTGTACACACCTGCATGATAAAAACCATCAGTAAACTATGGGAGAACTTGTTATGCCTAATACTGTTTACTGTATGAAATTTACACTAATTTGGATACCAAAATTTGGATAGGATTGGCTTAGTTATAGTAGTTATAAACATCACACTTTAATAAGAGTTGAGCAGCTGAATTGTTGCTATTAGGCATTCAAAAATTTAGTTATGTTTAAAAGTATTTTAAAAAATAATTTAAAAACTGTCTAATTCATTCTTACATATTATTGTTGGAGATGATAAGAAAGTCACTGCTTAGCTTGCTTGTTATTTGTCAGGTAGTTTGACTTTATCTTAATTTAAAGAATGATATAGAGCAAAGTTTGTCGATTATTGATATGATTTATTTATAATGATTTATCTATAAAAAACTGCCCAGAAAAAATTGTCTGTCTGTCACCAACAATGAAGACACAAGGCAAACACATGTGGAACATCAAAATTATATACATTTTGTCCCAGATTAAAATTCCAGGACTTTTCATGACCCTTGAAGGAATTTTTGCCATCCCTGGACTTTTCTCTGTTTCAAGGACTTGTAAGGACTATGAAAAAATTCAATCGTTTTTACACATTGCTTTAAACTCTGATGACACAACAGAAAAAGTTTGGCCAAGAAATTGTGAGAAGTCAGTTTTCCTTGATTTTTGAAAAGACTTTAAGAACTAAAAGAAAATATACAAGATATTATATGACTTGCAGTTATATCTTTACCTAATGCCACATCAGCAAAACAAAAACAAAATTAAGATAAAGTCATATTTTTCAATTGCTTGAAGATTATAATTGAAATTGTACTTAAAATCTATTATATAAACAATTTTCTCAAAGAAAATCTGATGCACATTTGTTGTTTTCTTTTATGTTACTATAGCAAATTCATATTGTGTTAGTACACTAAAGAGCATGCAAACTATCTTGCTTGGGTATTTTTTTTATTATTTTTTAACTATTCTTTGACAGATATAATATTTGATATTAGTATCAATAGAGCAGAAACAAAGATGCTTCATGTGTCCAGGTTGGTTGATATAATTTTTTTGACAAAAGTTACAGAAGTTGTGCTGAACCAGGAAAAAAAACAGAACAAATAAGTATAACAAATGGTAATCTGTATATTTTATAATATGAAAACAAAACAATAGGATAGTTATTTTATTCCATACTTTTAGATAAGAATAAAATTGTTATGGGAGTTAACTTTTGAAAGTCATAACTAATTTTGGCTTCTGGCCCAATATAATAGACAAATCTCCAGTACTTTTGAAATGTTATACTCATTCAGTATTAAGCAAATATTTGTCAGGATATGTTTTAAGCTTACAGTATACAATTAATGTTATTACCATAATTGTCAATCTTTACTTTTCTAAAGGTATTGATGGATCAAGTGAATTGGTCCAATCCTTAATCTAGTAATTTGGCTTCTGATCTTTATTCAGATACCTTAATTGTTGTCCAATTTTCTATAATTTGTTTGATTGGGCTGCAATTTGAAAAAAACTGTAGACTTATAAATTCCCATTGTCATCTGCCCATCTCTCTTCTTTAATCTTAATCTTGAGAACAGAGTTAGATAGATGAAGGTCAAGACCAGATATGGAAAGCTTAGGGCAGGAGGCCCTGATTAACTATATACGAACTTCTGATTTGCACTAGAAGTCGTTATTTCAATTTAAAAAGTTTCCTGAAAGGTATTAGATAGATGACTGGCATGATTCTGTTATCATCAGGAAAAGTATGATGTACAGAGGCAAGAACTCTACTAATTTGAGGTGGAGAGCATATATTTTAAAATTAAAAATTGCAGCCCAGCATTGTGACAGTGTTTTCATATAATTTATTGTGGTTCTTTTCATTCTGTGAGTTCTACCAAAATTCTGTTAGCTTTTCCTTAATGATTGGTTTATGGTCATTGCATTTGAAAAGAAGCAAGGGCTGACTTAGCAGCTATATTAACCAACTATTCTCCCTAATACAAAATAGCATGGAAAGCTTTTATGGAGATTCATTAGAAAGGTGGGAAAGAATCTTATGAATTTTTGAGTAAACAGAATACAAATTATTTTTCCATGAGGTCAAAGTCTGAAGTGTAATCAGTGAACCAGAATAATTTTACAACAGAACCTGTCTTCCACATGTCTTAAAGCTAAATGAATAATATGCTTCTCAATAGTAAAGATCGAAGCCAATGGAGATACTTGACTGACAACAGTTTTACTGCAGTAGATCATGGCTACTACATGAATCTATTTCAATGTACAGTAGTCCCCCTATAACGTTAGCCGTTCACAGCCCGGCACACGTATTTGTAAAATCTAAGTGACTCATACAACATGGAATTGTCAACAGTGTTATAGGGGTGGGTCTACTGTAATTATCACATTTAGATTCATCTGTACAAATGTGAATTTAGTCCATATTGTGTTAGATTTCTGTAAACACAGTCTAGAGCAAGCCTGGCCAATCCATGGCCTGCATGTGGCCCATCATGTTAAATTGTGTGGCCCGCTAAGTGATATTATATATCTATTAAAACTTTTGTTTTCCGTTATGTGTATACCAAAACAATTAAATAAATGAAAATTTGCACGTGTCATTGTTATAATGCACAAGTGCGAGTACAAATTCTTGGTATAACAATAAAATCTTATTCATTTTGTATTTGTTTTACTTTTTTAAAAGCATGTTTGCCTAAATTGTGGCCCACTGTAATGTTATGCGTGATCAAAGTGGCCCACAAAACAATTTGGGTTGGCCAGGTCTAGAGTAGAATCATTTGACATTATCTAGCTCACTATCCAGCAATAATGGAGGATACCAATCAGAATAAAATAGTATAAATCTCAAGACTTTTACCTAGATGAATCATGTTAATTAGTATCTCAACTCATATTCCAAAAGTAAGGGTACACAATGCAAAAGCTATTCGGATCAATTTAGTAAGCTAGTCTATAAGAAAATTTCTCACTAATATATTATGTTTTTATGTTGTAAAACTAAAATTTTAGTTTTGCAACTATTTCATCTTAATTCATAACGGGCTCATAGATATCAATATACAGATTTTTGTATTCTGCTGAAAAAAATCATATGCAATTTATTGAAAATAAAGATCCCAAGATCTATCTAAATGGCATACAGATCCAGTTGCCAATAAAACAATGTTCTCTTTGACTGGAGACTAAATAATGCAGATGTGGTAAAAACATTAAAACCTTTAACATTTTACCACATATACACTATTTAATTTCCATTGCATCACACTGATCAATTCTTCAAACACTCCATATCATAGTTAAAATTATATTTTCATTTTTTTTTTAAGTAAGAAAACTGAAAGCAAATTTATAAAATTACTAGCTGTTACCCACGACTTCGACTGCATGGATTTTGCAAGCAAACCCCATTTATATTCAGTATTTTAACAACCATAATAATTGTTATATAACACCTACTGCTGAGAATGATGAGAATTGCTGAGAATCAAACAAACTGTTTTCAATTTGATCAATTTATAGAACATTTACAATCGTTCTATAATCAAACCAATATGCAATAACAAATTTGAATTTAAAACAGTTCGAACATTTGGTTAAAAAATCACAATATATAAAAATATTTATAACAATGTCTGAAATGTTATCAATTTAATACACCTAACTACTCAATGAAGACTAAACATAGTTAAAAACAAAAAAAATTGCATCTAAAATAGTACAGTAGAAGCCATTCTTCAGGTTAAGCCTTAATCCTTTCCCTCTCCCCACCGCGGGGGAATTTTAAAAAAATCCCTTCTTAGTGTGCGTTTTCATGATGTACCCTAACTGTGTACAAAATTTCACCTCTAGGTTCAGCGGTTTGCTCTGGGCAATAATGAATTAATCAGTCAGTCAGGACAAGTAATTTTATATATTTGGATTATTACTATTATTTTGTTTTTTGTCCTGTAAGCTTTGGCAATTTGAGTTTCTATCTGGCCATACTAATGGATAATAAAAAAAACAGTAATAAACTCTATTTTTTTATTGCTACTTAAAGTTTATAATAATAATAAACTGCAAAAATGTTATATTTATAAAATAATTTATTAATATAGTAAAATACAAACCTGTTTTCTAATGTAATTGATTAGCTTCACTTGTTCATAAAAATTTAATGTGAATTTTGTTTTTATTTCATCAAAATCAAATTTGTGGTTTTCCTAAAATAAATAATTATATAATGTTCGTTAAACTGAAAAGAATAAACTTTATGTAGCTTTATAAATATAAAAATATTAATACAAAATATAAAAGAAATGAGAAGAAATATTTCAAATTCTAGAATATGTATCTAATGAATATTTTATATTAATTAATGTTTATTTATTATTATTATTTTTTATCGGAATTTAGTCATAATTACTAAATTGGAAAATTACCTAAATAAAATTACTTCATTATATTTTTAAAACATCAAATTTTTATAAAACAAAGATTACTATAAGTTTTTAAATTCCTCAGTTGATTATTCTGCATAAAATAGATTAAGTTGTAAAATAAAAATTAAAACAATGGGATCGGTTATTGTAAACATTAAAATAATAATTCTAAAAAAATCGTAAATTTTAAGAGTAAATGAGTTAAAATCACTTTTTTTATCCAATTTCAAGAAAATTAAACACAGAGATGGATCACAATTTGAAATTAATAATTATCTCTTACTTTATTCTCCATATGCATTTCACTTGTTAGCCTCATCAGTGGATATCACACTTTACATTACAATTAAAGAAAAAACAAATAGCATCTACTGATGAATATGAGCTTTTACCTAGTGATCCAATAGAAGAAATTTAAAAGGGATTAACCAAATTAATGAAAATATATAAAAAAGAGTTTACAAGTCAAGATTATAAGAAGATAATGAACTTTAATAATGTACGTATTCCACAACTTAATTGTGACCGTAGGGTCGGTGTCTCATTGACACCATGTCAGGATGTGACACCACTGAGTCTCTCAGGACTCGGAAATCGCGACTTTACGTCACACAAGCGGTGAGCTTCGGAGCAGAGGTGAGGAGAGAGACGAGGAAGTGACTCACTTGGATTCCATATTAACTAACAAATAACAATTTTAATAAGAACCAAAGAAAGATATATTCGATAGTGGGCATGCCTAAAGTTTCCCTAATTATACTAGGCCGTTCGAGAGAGAAAGAGTTTACAAACGAATCGCGGGTTGATAAATACCTTTCTTCTGAGTCGAAGATCTGTAGTAAGATGACACTGCCGATGGAATGTTCAATCAAATGGTTCTGGGTCTTGTCCGTTAACAGGAGCACGGAGGTGAAGATGATATCCTTAAAGAGGCAATCTTCATCACGGTTTTAATTCTGGATTCTTGGTCACGGTATTATTCCTTGAGGACGACTTTGGTGGAAGGACTTTGGAAGATGACTGCCCTCGGGTGTTTTTTCCGTTCTCTCTTGTTATTCCTCTTGGGTTTTTCCCATGAGGTCAGGAGGTTGTTGTTAAGGATCTGGCATCCAATGTGCGCCCTTTATCGAAAGTTCCGGGTGACATATCACTGACTAGTTGGATCCTCCTCAACAAGGAACCAACTCTGTGGGAAATAAATTTTTATGGCTTTTAGCCTAACTTGATAAAATGCTCGAAGTTAAGAATTTCCCAATAATTAAAGTTTAAAATAACACTTTATTGGGGGTTTGTTCATCCCTCACATAATATTAGACTTAAAACCCACAAAGTGGGAAATGTTTATAGATTGTTAGTGGATTTTTATTATTTATTTTTTTATTTATTTAGTACAAGGGAAACCATGTATATATGGGCTATTATATAAAAATTACAAACTTATAAAAATTAATACAAAAAGTGTGACAATAGTCTGAAAGGGAAAAATAAAGATAACACAGGGTTACTTTCAATATCCAAAATAACAATATTTATATTCTAAGAAAAAAACATAAAAAAGAAAAATGGCAGCGAATGGTCGGCATATACAAAACAAAATAAAAAAAAAAGAAAAAAAAATTAAACAAATTGCAAAAAATTGAATAATTATTTATTTTACACACAAAATCGCTGACCATAAACGCTGCCAACTATCAACACTAAGTCGTAGTGGATTTTAAATATTCTATATTGTATAATTTAGAAAATTATATTAAAAATTATTTACAGTGCATACCAGACTCTAAATATAGTATAAAAAACACAGATCAGTTAATTTCACATTTATTATATGGTTAAAGCAAGAAATCCTTTAGATCTACAAGTTTGGATGTAAAATTTATGTATCCATCGATAAACTGGGATTTTCATTACAGAATGTTTACGTAAATATAATTTACCTAGTTATATTATGGATTTTATAAAATTTACCTTTAAAAGTAATTACTTTACAATTTCCACAGAATATTATCATCAAAAAGATGGGATAGCAATGGGATCTGTGGTTGGTCCAAAACTTGCAGTTTTGGACCAACCACATCCCATGTATGACATCATTAGATGAAAAAAATCTTCCAGTATAAAGGTACAGTAGAGCGTCGATTATCCGAATCAATTGGGGACTGGGGTTGTTCGGAAGATCGATGTTTCGGATAACCGATTATGTATGAAAAAATATATTAATTTATCCCATCTGGACATTTTTCTCTGTTGCGTGTCGCTTCGCGTTGAATTTTCATCGATGTTAAGCCTAACGAAGACTATTGTATCGTTAAAAATTATTTTTTTATTTTGTACGAACAAAATAAATATATTGAAAAATATATAAACAATAAAAAATTATACTTCAGAAGTTAATTTAGTATCAAAAACGTAAAATATTTGAGTAGCCCAAGACATAGCCAAAGATTGCAGCACCACAGCACTGGCGAAAATTTAAATTTGCTGACTGGAATTCTTTCGGATGATTGACTTTCGGATAATCGACACTCTACTGTATTTCTTTTTATGCTAGGTATGTAGATGATATATTGATTTTGTATAATTCAAAAATCACCACAGCTAAAAACATTGAGACTGATGCAAACACTTTGAATAAAAATATTTGATTCACCTATGAAGAAGAGAAAAATTGTGAAATTAATTATTTAGATATTACAATCACAAGACAAGATGAAAAACTACTTTTTTATATTGGCATAAGGAAGACTAATTCCTGTAAATCTGTTAATAAAGTTATCCATTTAAAAGAATCTATTTGCATTGATTGATCACAATTGAAACATCATAATTTCTTAATCGTAGACTTTAAAAGTTCACTGTTTTTATTTTCTAAGATTATTTGTTGAATTTTTTTATAGTAATTTGATTTCTTAGATTTTAATAGATTGAAATACAAATTTTTGGCTTAACGATATTGACTGAATACCGTTGATGTAGATAATTTTTAAACTGAAGTAATGCTTTAATAATTTTCATTCTTAAATTCTTATATCCGGTATAAACTTTCATTATTATTATGTGCTGCAGGCAAGGGACTTAATAATTGAGACTCAACAATACGTAAATCTTGAATAGGAGTGTTTAAATTGATCATATGTCATTGCGGAGTATTCTCAGAAGTAAAATACGGGGTAAAAGAATCCAAGTATACCAGCCCCTCCAACACATAGCTATACGTCAAAGAATAATTGCCCAACAGTATAGTATCACCTCGGAGTTTTGGATATTTACCTGCTTTCCTTAACTCGCTTAAAAAAGGAATTAATTGTTTACGTCTTAATCTAGATCTTTTTATAAGATCCTGTGAAATTTGAGTTTCTTTCCATACGTTCGATAGGTTTTGCTGTTTCATTTTTATAAAACTCGAATATATATAATCTCTTATTTGGGTATTTTTAATAATTAATTTAATTGTTGGATACTGTGATTTAGTTATTGGAATAATCGCTATTAAATCATCCATTGTAACTTCATGTAATTCTAATGATTCATTAATAAGATTAAACACTTCTAGCTTGGTAGGATTAGTTTTACTGGGATATCTATATAACATTATATTATTTCGATGTTGCGCATTAACCATATTGTCCATTCGATATTGCATACTTTCATTTTCTATTTTCAAATTAGCAATTTGTTGTTCAAGATTAATTATTTGGCTATTCATTTTTTGATTCTGGACTTTAGTTTCTTGGATACTATTACGAATCTGGTCCAAATCTTCTTTGATAATAGTCATTTGACTTAATATTCTCGTATTAGAAACATTAATTAATTCAGAAATTTTATTCCATAGTGTTATACTTGATATATCAGATGAATTTTTTCCTGGCGAAGAAGATAAAAAATCATATGGCTCACCTGATAGTTGAGAACTTGGAAGTGTAGTTTCAGGGTTCAAACCTACGTTTGCAGAAGATAGTTCAGGAGAAGTTCTTTCGACGTGTAAATTGTAATCAGTAATTAACCTGGTATTAGTGGTCGAAGCAGTTTCCTTTCTACTAGTTGATTTTGACTTTTGAAGTGGTGGTCTTCCTCTTTTAATTGGCGAGCATTGCATATTAATTATGTTGATAAATTTTCCAACAACTTATAATGTTAACACACAGCCCAAACAAATAAAATTTTAACGTAAAATTATTAAACAGGATACATTCTTTACTTGTATTTGAAGTGAGTAAAAAAATGCGCCAGCAGCTTCGGCAGACAGAAGCGCCCCCCACGTTACAGAAATATATTGAAGTGGAAACTAAAAATCTTTTTAAAAAATATTTATTGAATGATTATCCGCAACAACTTATATATAAATGGTATAATTCTTATACCACTAACAGATATAATGTTAAAAATGAAAAAATAAATAATTTATATATTAAAATCCCATATATTACAAAACTTTATGAAAAATACAAAAACTTTTTGAAAAAATATTTTGTCAATTTAGTAGGTGAACAACAAAATAGACTAAGTAAGAGTATTTATTTGATTAACAAAGAAAATGTTAAATATTCGAAGAATCCTCTGGAGGTGGCAAGAGTCATTTACAGATTGATGTGTACATGTACAGCCAAGAAGTACTATATTGGTGAAACAGGAAGAAAACTTGAAATGAGATTGAAGGAGCACGAGGTGGCAAGTCAATTAAAATGAACCGAATCTCCATGGCATCAGCATTGTAGTATTACAAATTGTATTATTGATTGAAATAATGTTAAAATATTGTATAAAATAGAAAACCTTGTAATAAGACGTATTATTAAACATTACTGCATCAAAAATTATGTAAATACTATTAATTTAAACACTGGTGTATGTGTAGATGCATGCTGGGATATAGTGATAGAGCATAAAAGTATTGGCAATATAAAGCACAATATCCACTGATGAGGTTAACAAGTGAAATGCATATGGAGAATAAAGTAAGAGATAATTATTAATTTCAAATTGTGATCATCTCTGTGTTTAATTTTCTCGAAGTTGGATAAAAAAGAGTGATTTTAACATGTTTATTCTTAAAATTTACAATTTTTTAGAATTATTATTATTTTGAACAATAATACTGCACTAGTTTTCATCTCAATTGAGAATTATTACTTCTAATCTAGATTTAATGACATATACAGGTATCCCTCATACAATATGGCATTCCTACAACATGGTTTTGCTTTAATACAGTTTGAGAATTGGGAAAATCCCCCCATATAATATGATGTTCTTACAACATGGTTCAAGAATTGAAAATATCCCCATACAAAACATCACAATTTTTAAATGCACCATCGTTCAATATTTTTTTATTCAAGTAAGCACGTGTTGTCTAATATTTGTCCATGGATTTTAGAATACTGAAACTTTCAATGTTGTTTTGTGCCTTTTGGTCATTTTCTTTAATGAGAACTTATTGTATAATTTTTCTTCTTCCTTGTCATAGCATCCTATTCTAGCTTTCATATAGACTAAGTGTCACTGTCTTTGGTGATAATGCTTTAGTGAAACCGAAAGACTGTCACTGTGTTTTGTTTTTATAAATCAAATAAAAAGTTACTACATACAAAGATTAAATTTATAAAGATCTCTTAGTCAAATGAAAGCAATTGAAAAATCATATATTATGAAAAAGTAGAAAAAATCACAATGTTTTGATTAAGATCAGCAAGATAGCCAAGGTAACGTAAGTATCTTGCCAAAAAGTTACCACTGAAAAAAAGTATGTTATCATTTAATTTTTTCTTCAGTAGTGAAGAAAAAAATTTATATTAACATGCAACACTTTTGATTGTGATTGTTAATAAATTAACAATTGATTGCTTTAACAAACACATTTGTCTTAATTACAAAAAAAATAGTATATTTTTGTTAACTTTTGAAACCCAACCCTATGTTTTGTACTAGTCCTTTGTTTTATATAGTACAGATTTGCATAACATGGCACTTTTTGAAACCTAACTATTATCCAATTCTTACTTAATTGTATTTTTCTAGAATACAATTAAGTAAAAATTGGATAATTGATCTGACTCCATTGTTTTAAATAGTTATTTTGAACCTAACTATTATGTTATACAGGGATATCTGTACAAAAAATTTTTTTTAATATTTTTTCAAACAAATATATTGTATAATAAATAATATATATATGGTAGAGTCAAAAATAAACCAAATTTTTATTATATTAATGATAACGGAATTCATGGAGAACATCTTCAAAATAAGCACTTTTTGCAGCTACACATTTTTGCCAATGTTTATGCCACTTTTCATTCCTCCTGCTGATTTGAATCTGTAGCTCTTCAATAAAACTTTCATTTGGGGAAGATATGAGTCTGCAACGAATGCAAACAAAGAATATCAGTTTAAGACTCCTGTTAGCAGATCTATTTCCAGGAACAAACTCTAATGCACCAGGCTTTTCCTTTCCCTTAGATCTGTCTAAACAAAATTTATTCTACCTTAGTGAAGAGACTAATTTCCATGTCAATGATATACATTTACTATGTGGATTGTACAAGAAAACTAGGATTCATCATTAGTAATTATCTGTTAAAGATATCTGGATTTTTTTTCAACTGTGTTGATCAATTCTTCACTGATGTTTTTCAAGTTGCTCATCCATTAAATTTAACATTCTCAAAACAAAGTAAGAATAGTTGCAATGCATCTTCAACTCATTATGAAGAATGGTGTGTAGAGAGTCATATGAAATCCCTGAAATGTGAGCTAGATTGCTTGTATACCAAGAGATTAAGAGAGACTAAAAACAAAGCAAATCATTTCTTCATTTACAATTTCATGATGAGCTCAGGATATTTTTCTTCTAATTATTAATTAGAGATTCAGACTATGTACAAAAAATTATTTAATTTTTGAGTCTATCAATTCATCCTTTTTCACACACCACAGAAGTAGCCTTTTACATCGGTTTGAAGAAATCACTTCATAAAAAACGTATAACAATAGGTAAAAATTTACAATTAAAAACGATCAGACGTCAGCCTTTCATTTTAGGTATCTGACGCCTTTACATTAAAATTAAGTAAATCTTCTCACCAACTGCCAAGTTTTATACCTTCAGTATCAGGTTCAAGCCCTCTAGTGGTGGATACGAGCTATCTTTGATTCGCATGTGTGAAAAAGGATGAATTGATAGACTCAAAAATTAAATAATTTTTTGTACATAGTCTGAATCTCTAATTAATCATTTCTTCATGTTTTACTGAAACTGACCTACTTTAATGAAGATCATCCTCTGTTGATTCAGTCTTCTTTAAAATGTTTATGTCATTATCACATATGTCTATAAGCAGATTAAATGTTTCAGTAAAATTTTTTCAAGTTGGAAACAAAATTTAAAGTTGATTGACTGCTCATGATGCATCATTTCAGAATTTCATGGTACACATTTGTATACATCAATACTTTTAACATTTTATACTCTAATCCATCCAAATATATTGAACAATTATGACATGTCTAAGACAATGCTAAAATGCACACAGGATCACAGTTACAGCTAGAAAATATGAAATATTTGGTTTATTTTTGACTCTACCTTGTGTAATTTCTGGCACAATTAAAACAATAAAAGAATGTAAAATTCAAATCCTTTAAATTAATATTAAAGGCTTTTATTAACTAAGGTTGTATTTTTTTCATTGAATTAATGCATTTTTTCTATTTTAGACTTTTTATATATTTTTTTTTAATTCTGAACAAAAAACTGTTTACTCAATATATTCAGTTTTGAATCTTAGGATAAAATTTACATTTATTAACCCCTTAAGCCCATAACCCGAGATATCTTGGGCAAGTTACATAACGTTACATAAAATGAGGTCCTTAAGGCCATTTTTGAAATTTTTTTTTTTTNAAACAATGCTAGCCTGATAAAAATACACTTTAATTTGCATAAAAAACATTCTCTTAACTGTTGTTCATAATATTATATTAATGCTATACTATGAAAAATTCATCAATAATTAGATTTAATTTAAATTAGAAAAACAAACTAGAAAAAAAGGAGTTTATGATCAATAACTAATATTTGAATATATGAATTTTATACTTTTGAGAAAATATTACATATTAATATGTATTCATTAACTACAAAATAAAAGTTTTTACTAACTCATCACTATCTTCAACTGGAGATTTAATGAAAAAATCAGATTCATTCTGAAATTTACATTTATTAATATATGTATATTTTGTTTTGTTTTTATTTTTTAGATAAATAATATACTAATTATATAACTAAGTATTATAATACTATAGCTTATTTTAATAAATAATTAATGCAAAAATATTTCATCTACTCAAGTTTTTCATCAAAAAATGCATTAATAGAAATAACACTTACATTCATATGTAACATTAGTTCATCAACATCTGAAGAAGTAAAATCACAAAACAAACAGACTACATGAGTTGACTCTTCTTCCCAATCTCTCCATTCTCTTTAAAAAATTTTAGAAATATGAAAAAAATTGAAGACAATTAGATAATATTTATAATATTACAAAATACATTTAAGTGAAAATTATTATTGTAAATTTAAAAGTGCTCCACATAAGTCAGAAGTGTTTTGCCTGTGATTGAAGTTTAAAGCAACTCAGCATAGTTGAAGTCGTGACAAAGCTGAAATTTTGAAATCAAATGTATGGGCCAAGATATTCAAGGTTGAAGTTTGCCATGTAAAGTCTATGGGCTGACTATTGGCTATAAGCTAGTTGCACATTACATGTCAATCCAGTTTCCGATTGCTGTCAATTTACATTTCTACAATTTTTATTTTGATCTTTACAATGGGTATTTAATATGTGGGGGCTGAAAGTCATGCATGTATGTGTTTTAACTGGTTGCTGGAGTTCTAGGCCACACATGGATGGGTGTTTTAAATGTTTCATGACATTTTATCAGTTTTGACATTGGACATGCACATCCTCTGAATCTGCAGGTTTTAAACTGCTTTAGAGAGAACATTAGAAGCATATATTTGCATTTTTGTATGAAGCCAAAAAGAAAAACTTATGCCGTGGAGCTCAATTTCATTTTCCTAGAAAATGCCTAGTTAAATAAAAGTGATTAATATAAATTTCTAAAAATTTTATGCATAAATAAATTNAGTATTTTTTACGTTTAATTGAAATCTATATAAAAAATGTCAATGTCCTTAAGGAGTTAATATATGTATATTTTGTTTTGTTTTTATTTTTTAGATAAATAATATACTAATTATATAACTAAGTATTATAATACTATAGCTTATTTTAATAAATAATTAATGCAAAAATATTTCATCTACTCAAGTTTTTCATCAAAAAATGCATTAATAGAAATAACACTTACATTCATATGTAACATTAGTTCATCAACATCTGAAGAAGTAAAATCACAAAACAAACAGACTACATGAGTTGACTCTTCTTCCCAATCTCTCCATTCTCTTTAAAAAATTTTAGAAATATGAAAAAAATTGAAGACAATTAGATAATATTTATAATATTACAAAATACATTTAAGTGAAAATTATTATTGTAAATTTAAAAGTGCTCCACATAAGTCAGAAGTGTTTTGCCTGTGATTGAAGTTTAAAGCAACTCAGCATAGTTGAAGTCGTGACAAAGCTGAAATTTTGAAATCAAATGTATGGGCCAAGATATTCAAGGTTGAAGTTTGCCATGTAAAGTCTATGGGCTGACTATTGGCTATAAGCTAGTTGCACATTACATGTCAATCCAGTTTCCGATTGCTGTCAATTTACATTTCTACAATTTTTATTTTGATCTTTACAATGGGTATTTAATATGTGGGGGCTGAAAGTCATGCATGTATGTGTTTTAACTGGTTGCTGGAGTTCTAGGCCACACATGGATGGGTGTTTTAAATGTTTCATGACATTTTATCAGTTTTGACATTGGACATGCACATCCTCTGAATCTGCAGGTTTTAAACTGCTTTAGAGAGAACATTAGAAGCATATATTTGCATTTTTGTATGAAGCCAAAAAGAAACACTTATGCCGTGGAGCTCAATTTCATTTTCCTAGAAAATGCCTAGTTAAATAAAAGTGATTAATATAAATTTCTAAAAATTTTATGCATAAATAAATTTTTAACACAGGATATTAAATCATATAACATTTTAATTTACTCAAATAAGAATAATCTTAAATATAACTTGATTAACAATATCTTTTGATCACAAAATTATTTTTTTCACTTTACCGTATTTTTTAAATAAAGTTTAAAAAATGATTAAAATCAATCATATGATTTATTTATCATTGAAAAATTTAGATTTTCAAGATTAATTAATTAAAAATCAACTTTTACATATTTTATACTGATTTAAAATGGAAATTATTAATAGATTAAATCAATAATCTAGTAAATTTGCAAATGTTTCTTCAATCTGTATCTTTATGTACTGTACATATGGAATATATCTGAATTAATCAATTAAATTTCTAATTAATTTTTTTATTAAACTAAATTTATAAACTTGATTTTAATTTATTAAATTCAAATTTATAAATTTATTGTGAAAAATTAATATTAATTACTGGCAATCACTTACAAACTTTTAATGAAAATTCATTATTACATCAAAACTAAAGCACTATAATTTTAAGTGTAACCATACAAGAATCTTTATCACATTACAAAATATTTTTTATGTAGTGAGTGATCAGTTAACAAACAATTTGTTCAAAGACAATATTCATTACCTGATGATCAATTTACCATAGAATTTTATGGGAATTTGATTAATTCGTTTTACAAAACGAATTAATCAAATTAATAAAAATAAATTAAAAATTATATACTTTCTTACTATGTTTATTTATATATAATAACAAACCAAAAGCAATCTCTCCATTTTTTTATGGATGGCAATCTTTGTTCCTCAGATGTGATTTTCATTACTCCTTTATCTGCTTGAGATTGATTATGTCTTTCTTTCTGATTTATCTTTCTTAGCTAAAATTGTGCCTACAGTAGATCTGTTGAAGCCATAATGCCTCGCAACATCAGACATCTGCCCACTCTCTACCTTGGCTATTATTTTTTGCTTAATTTCTATTGTAAACACAGTTCTTTTTGGGCCGCATATTATCATCAGTTTTTTGAAATAAAAAGTTCAGAAAAGCACTTACAAAAATTAAGAAAACAGAAATCAACTAGTGCAAAAAAGGTTATGTATACAACTGTAAAGTCTCGTTCCATAAACCATTCAGATACCAGTAAAATATAGTTTTACAAATCTTAAATGCAGCAACACTTCTTCTTGTATTTGTTCTGTGAGGTGTTCATTATCTGAACTTGTGTTTGTTGTCAGAACATAAAAATCTTTTGTGAAAATGTTCGCTGTGCAATTTGTTTGCAGTCTGAACTGTTCATTAACCAATCACCCACTGTAAATTATAAACTTGCAAAAGCAAAGGCATACTAATTGCATTTTTTTTTTTTTTTTTTTTATCAGTGTTCAATAAGATTTGCAATATCTCAAGGTTTGTTGCTAAAACTGTCAAGATTAAAGATAATTCTGAATTACAATATTTCATTTTTTAATTATATCTTACAGAAATAATATCCTTGTTTTTATATTGGTATTACTTGTATAATGTATTATATCAGGTAGTAATGTAAACAATGCTAGCCTGATAAAAATACACTTTAATTTGCATAAAAAACATTCTCTTAACTGTTGTTCATAATATTATATTAATGCTATACTATGAAAAATTCATCAATAATTAGATTTAATTTAAATTAGAAAAACAAACTAGAAAAAAAGGAGTTTATGATCAATAACTAATATTTGAATATATGAATTTTATACTTTTGAGAAAATATTACATATTAATATGTATTCATTAACTACAAAATAAAAGTTTTTACTAACTCATCACTATCTTCAACTGGAGATTTAATGAAAAAATCAGATTCATTCTGAATAGTTTCCCAACTTTTTCCTGATTCCTAAAATAAATAAATATTATTACAAGGACTTCATATAATTTTACTTGTAATTAAAGAAGTTTGGGAATTTTTACTTACCAAATAATTAATAAGATAAAATTTATCATATGATGTGTTATCAGGCCTAATTCTTTTATGTTGCTTCTTTCTCATATGTTCCTTCAATGCTGACCAATTTTTAAATATTTTTTCACAATACAAGCATTGTAAACTGTAAATAAATTAATAATAGAAGAATTTACATTATTCAAATACAATTGTCATACTATAAAATGAACTTATATCATCATCAACTTATCATCAAAATATGCTAATAAATTGACAATTTCACATCTACAATTTACATTAAAATTGGAGAAAACAACATTAAACTGTGGTGTGAGAAATTATTTTTTTTATCATATAAAATAAATGATGATACAATCCTTTCAAAAAATATTAAATATCGTTTTATATAAACTTAAAAGAATTCAAAATACAGGACAACAGGGCTCAAAATTTTTAGCTATCAAGCTTAATTTGAGAAATTGCCATATCTGCATTTTGGGTAGGTTTCAGAAAAAAATTATAATTTTTTGTAGTAGTTTAAAAATTATCACATATAACTTATCATTTTGTATAACGGACAAATTCTTTAAACATTATGTTTTATTTTTCATTAATTTTCCTTTTTTAATTTTTTCTAACTATTATCAACAGAAATTAAGATACAGACTTTATTTCTGTAATATAGAAATTAAAAAACAACATATTTTACATTGATTTTTAATCTAATTTATCTTTTAATTTCTAAAATTTTACTAATAACAAAGTTCAGGAAAATATAAAACATTTTCAAGTTACAGTGATTTTGTTATAAGAAGAAAATATTTATAAACAACATACATGAATACTGTGTTAGCTAATAAAGACTTTGCTATATATTTTTTGTTAATTTCACATATTACTTATGTTGAAATAACTTGAAAAGAATTACATTTAGACATATTGACAAAACATAGCTATTTGAAAATGTTATATTATTATTAATGGAAATGCAGTCAAAAGTTCAAATGGTCATAAGTAGAGTATATTGGTGGCAAGTAGGAAAAATCCTTTGTGACCAAGATAGCTGGTGAATTTTGAGCCCTGGAAGAATAGCCATTCTCTAATATAAACAATAATATCAATCATTTAACATGCATGTCAGTCTTCCAGTTTTGAAGATTTATCTTACATTTAACTTTCAGCAATTTAATCATCTTCAGCAACAAATTAAACAATCACTTAATCTTAAAATATTTTAAATTCATTTTTGCAAGTTTTCTCATTTTAAATCACATACATTTCAAATCTTGTTTCCTTATTTTAAAAACTTACAGCATAATCTATTAGACCAAATATGTCAAATTAATGGTTTATGTGATGCATGAAGCCTTCTGTATGCTCCAGCATGGTCTGTTATATTGTAATAAAACATTCACAAATATAATACACTTAATTAAACCACAGCTTCTAAATGACTTAGGCTAGATTCCCATATTCCAAACATGTATAAACCATTGATATACTTTTTTCATTGATCAATCATGTTTTCAATACATTATAATATTCTGCTATAACTATTCATTTGAAAAAATATTGGTTTTATGCATTTATCATGCAAAAGCAAGAATCTGGCTTTAATTAGTTCATATACAATTTTATTTTCAATTTATTAAATTGAAATTTTATCTAATTAAATGTTTTCAGTATTTTTTATATTCGTAAAACTGATCTGTTTGTTATTCAAATAAATCTTTTATCACTTTTATTCAAGTTTATTAAATTTTAAACTTTTAATGTAAAAGTTTAAAGTAGTAAATAATTTTAAAATATTTTTTAATTGTTATTTTTGAAAATGTAATATTATGAATGGACATTCTGTATCTAGTTTTTAAAACTATTATTTCAAACAAGAAACTGAAAACAGTTTAGTGATAAATTTATTTGTTCTATTTATTTATTTATTACTTTTTAACTATTACACAGCTCGAAAGTAGAAAGCAGACCGGTAACTATACCATATTTATGTTTTAAATTCTTTATTTGAGCTTTTTTATTATTATTAATTCAAAAAAAATTGTTTAGAGGGTAGCTCTCTTCAGTTTTGTCATTTTCTTTATATAGTCTTTCAAAAATTTGATTTTACACATCAATCTTAGATTGATAAGGAGTGCAAAACTGAATTCTAAATTATTTTATTGCACAATTTAGTTTATCATACACAATTATTTTATTATACAATCTTTCTAGTAAAATATAAGTTCCATTTTTATAATAATAAAAATTTATAATATATTGAATACTAGTTTTAAAATATATAATTTAGATAATAAACCATGTATATAAAGTTTAAAAGAAAATAAAAGATTTGTTTTTTAGTCTACTATGTATAGTTTGTGATTGTTAATTAAATAAAATCTATTATATTTAAAGAAAAAATTTTTAAATTATTCATTTTAATTGTTGCAATGTTAAAACTTTACATTATCTTTATTTTATAAAATTAAAAATATATTAACAATTTGAAATTCTAAAATTATTCATTTTCTAAACATAAAAGTTTATGATTTATAGAAAAAGTTAGGCTTATATAAATTCAAATTTACCTTTCAAGCTTTTCCTGTAAAATGTTTAGAAATTCATTTCCAAATACTAAAAGAAAAAAAAATTTATTTTAATATGTTTTTAACATCTTATTCACTCAAGTTATTTTGATAGCTGATGATTAAAGTTTAATGGCATATTAATTAAAATTGTAAATATATTTTCAAAACATATTAGTTAAATTTTTATAAAATTAAAATTTATTGATAAAATCTTAATTAACTTTATATGTAATTCTTAAGTTTTATAAGTATATAATAGCTAATAAATCAGAATTACTAAATTATAAATTTATCTTCAAAATTGCTTTTTTTTTATTTACAAATACAAAAATTATGCAAACATTTCATTCAAAATGCAATTATCATCTATTTGTTTTCAAATTTATTGCACTGTACTTAAAGAATTTTTATATAAAATTTAACAATTTTAGAATACCAATTTAAAATTTAAATATAGAGAAAATTTAATATTGCAATATTTTACCTTTGAAATTTATTTAACTAATTGATTTTTCTTGATCAAAAATAAAATTGTAGTCATTTTCTTATTTAAATTAAGAAATTAACAGATTAAAAAATTTCAAACAAATTCTAAAAAAGAAAAAATACATTCCTACAATTTCATATAAAAAAAAGCACTTTTGGCAAAAAAGAAGTTATTACAAAGTAAATAGAGGCATACTCCATTGTCTACATCTAATATGATCCTGAAAATTTCAATGTAAGAAGTGTTTTTTCCATTATTTCATTTGAGAAAAATTTAACTTGTTCCCAACCCATCCAAATAATGCCAACCAATTTTCTCAAAAGACATTAAAACACTGAAAAAAATCTATTACATTTCACTGTGTTTTTAGCATAATATTAAACATCATAAATTTCAGTTACTTTACTAATAAATGTTTAATGAAATTATTAAAGGATACATTTATAAGCAAACTGCATTTTTTTAATATGTAATAGATAACAATGAAAATATTGTAATGACACTGTATAGAAACTGAACACAGGGAAAATAACAAAATAAGTGAACTACTGTGACAAACTGCTAAAAATAATCTCATATAACTGCATTAAAATTTTGTGATAAAAATCATAAATGACTAAAAAAATGTACATTATTTTATCAATTTCTCTATCTTTTGTATTGTGAAGTTAATTTATTTGGAAAATGAGTAGCCGATACATTATTCTAGCTGTAGCATAATAATGATGATAGCTAAAAGAAATGATTTCTAACTTTATTTTTATTTTCTTAGTTTAACAATATAATTCTTACCATTTTTGAAATGTAAAAAAACTAAAATTATAATCTTAAATTGATAAAATTCTGTCCTGTAGAAACAGGATAGGTCACAAGCTTCAAGATAAATCCATGTGATGTAAAAAATCTACTAATATATAAAAAATTGATCAAATAAAGAATTTTAGTTGTTATAAGTTATGAAAATAATTTAAAATTTAAGTAAATAAATGACTAAATGGTTTGTTGTGTCTTCTGATAAACCAATTACAGTATTTATCAGCTTATATGAGACATTTTCTCTTGTACCTTTAAAAAAAATAGTCCTGATCTTAGGAGCCAAAATGGTAATACAGAAATGATCCCTTGAAGTATGTAAAACTGAAAAATTAGCAAGTGACATTATTTTTTCACTTGCTAATTTTTCAGTTTATGATCAGTAATAATAGATCAGAAGACCAAACTATATTATGGATTTAAGTTAAAAGTATAATATGCAAAAGAACATGAGAACAGGTGTAGAATAAAATTTTGAACCATTATAAATTAGTGAGATTATTTGTCAATGATTACTAGCACAATCCTAGATAAAACACAATCCTTGTAAAATTCCACTTAAATCAGAACCATACCTATGGGGGCTATGAGGTGGCTAAGCTCCCTCAGCTTAGTCAGCAGTGCCTTTATGCAGTATATATAATGTATGCTTTAGCTATCATCATATAAACTTAAACTACTGTTTTGTTTTTTTACACTTAGACTGTAGCTAATAGGCCTGATGCTGGCTGGAAAAGAGAAAAATACCAGTCAGAATTTTTTCAGCTTGCCCCTGTGGCCCCAATTATTTATTTCTAGCTATGGGACTGACCTAAACAGCCAAATTTGGAAAAACTTATATAGTTAAATAATAGAATTTAGAGATGTACCACAATATCTTATAAGATGTTGTGGCATTAAAGATACATCCTAATTTTAAAATGTATTTTTAAACTGTCAATTACAGTATGTCCAAAATTTTAGTCTGATGTCAATTATCAATCAATCAGATATTACTGCAACAAATATTATAAAAAATAATGTAACTGAAACAAGATAAGCCAAATTTGATTATTTTATTTTTTTGTCTTTTGGTAATAATAATATTTTTTTCGATATAATAAGTAACAAAATAGATCTACTAGAACAGCAGTATTCAAACTATATACTGCATTCAACCTTCAAGAGCTCTACAAACATATAAGAAATTTTTATTTTCATTATGTTCACTAAAAATATTGAAAAATTAAAATGTCTAAACTGTATTACTCAAAGATAAAATGCTGAAAAAGATTTAGTAGTCAAAAATATTTAATAAATGTTTTCAAATTGAAAAAGCTCATCCTGAGATTAATACAAGCACAAGTCAAATACATAAAATAAAATACACAACATGCATTGACACATTTGATTTAAATTTTAAAAAATTTAATTCCTTAATTCAAAGTTTTAGATTACTGTACTATAATGGCAAAATTTCATAATATACAATATATAAAATATTTTTATTTGTATTCAAGTTAATATTTATAATACAAAGTCATTATTCTTTCACTTATTAGATATATATTATTATTTAACAATAAATAAAAATTAATTAAGAATATATTGAAATAAAGATTCCTCACCTATATTGTCAGAGTGTCCTATATTAAAATTATGATCTATTACCATGTGACTAAAAAGATCTGCCCTGAAATTAATAAAGTAACTTTTATGAATAAAAAATAATTTAAAACAATCTTAAATAATTAAATTTTATTATAGTAATCAATATGGTAATATCATCACTGGCAAAGTTAAAAGTTATCAATATGAAAAGTTTTTATCAAGATTTTCCAATATATATATTCATGAACAAATAATAAGCATAATTGTCCAATTCATAAATAGGAGTCCAGATACAGCCCAGAAAATAATTCTGGTTGAATTAAACCAGAATTATTTTCTGGTTTAATTCAACCAGAAATATTTTCACTGTCAGGAAAGTCATTGACAAGTGCAGCCATAAATGCATGAGCATTATGTGAAAATAATTCTGGTTGAATTGAATTCACCAGTGAAAATAATTCTGGTTGAATTAAACCAGAATTATTTTCTGGGTTGTACCTAAAGAGAGCAAAGAACCCAATACAGTCCCATGAACATTGTGAAAACAGATCAGTTTGCAGGTGTTGGTATCACAGCCTAGAGTGGCATCATGCTAAATGGCTGCATTGAGATCCACATTTTTGCAAGGGCTGCTATTACTGCAAGAAGATAGAAATGAGGTTTTGGAACTCCATGTAAGTTTTCTGAGATACTGTGGGTGCAGATATCATTTTCATAAATGCTAATGCTCATGCATTTATGGCTGCACTTGTCAATGACTTTCCTGACAATGAAAATATTTATCATATAGAATGGCCAGCAAAATCTCCAGACCTAAATTTTATAGAACATATTTGGGATATTTTGAACAAGTTGGACCCTGTTAGACTCCACTAATACTCTGGGACTTCAAGATCCTCTTGTTCAAGAATAAACTCTTTGCTCCCAACAGAGCTGATAAACAATGTTATAATCAGCATGAGCAATCACTGTGCAGCTTGTGTGCAAGAGGCAACCATATTAATAATTTTCTATACAAAAAGATTTATGATAATGCTTCATAATTTTTCTTGTTTTTGGTTTGACATAATTTAGGTTAATATTTTGCTTTTCAATTGTTTTGTTACACAAAAAATATAATATTCTGCTTGTATGTTAAGTATCATGCTGTTCTGATCAGTAGGTTTTGATATACAGGCTAAATTAATGATTATCCTTATTTTTTGAGTACAGGAGTATATTTATATGACCACACAATACTGAAGACTGATAATATGCTTCTTCTGAATATAAATATTTATTGCTAACAAAAATTCTGAGCAATAAACAAAATTGATTTAAATTAAAAACTCAATTTTAAGAATCTAATTCCATTTACTCTTTTGCAATCAGATACTGTATATATTAATTATAATTTTCCAATTCATTCCTCAAATTCACAGTATTCTAATTTAAGTATTAATCAATATTTGTGTATAATAACAAATAAGCATTACATATATAATAATAATAATAAATACCTGTTTCCTTTAAACACTTTTTTACAAAATAAACATGAGTGCTTGAATGTAGTATCATTTCTCTCCTTTTGATGTTCATTTAATATATATTCCTAAAACAAATTTAAAAAAAACAAGTAAGTGAAATATAAAAGCATTGCCTTAAATACAATATTTTTTATAATAGTGATATAAAATTTTTCATTGTTCAAAATACAAAAAATCTTAAAAGGTTTTTTAAAATTCCTTTAAATAATTAAGACTTGATTTTAATAATCAGGCTAAACATTTTAATAACTAGCTGCATATGATATTAAGTTCTTCTACAATGAAATACAGTATAATCTCTGTAATCCAACATATATGAGAACAGAATAATGTTAGATTAAAGAGATTGTCAGATTATTAGAAGTAAGGTAAATTCAATGGTTTAATCATTCAGAAAGAAAACATTTGTTTATTTGAATAATATTAATATGTTGTATTAAGTTGGAGTATTGATCAAAACATCCAATTACATTGCTATTGCTGGTAATCAATGTTGTGTTGCCAAGTTGATGGAGTCTCACTTAATTTAGGGAGAAATTGAAACAACCATGGAAAATTTAGTGAGAAAACATTTGTCACTCATTATAAATAGAAAAAGTTGTCATTCATATTTTTTCAAAACATCTCTCTTGCAAATACTTTTAAGATAAAAAAGCCTAACCTTGAAAATGATCAACAAATTAAAATTTTAATATCTTATTCTACATTATGTTCTATAAATACTAAATGTTTTATATTATTTTAAAAATAAAAACTCATAAAAATTTAACATTATTCTAAAGAAAAATTTTTTTTAAAATTAATTATATATACAAACACACAGGTATCCCTTGTGTAACATATAATATACATTCTGACAACATACATATAACATATAGATACATTCTGAAAAAGTGCCTTGTTAAGCAAATCAATGCTATACAAACCAAAGGGCTAATACAAAACAGGGTTAGGTTTCAGAGTTAACAAAAGTATAATATTCTTTTTCGTCACTAAGAGAAATATGTTTGTTAAAGCAATCAGTAATTAACTAACAACCACAATTAAAATACTGTTAATATTAATTTTAGTTATAGGAGGGCTTTTTCTTTTTCAAAGTATCATCATCTGAGCTTTTTTGTTGATCTTGATCAGAAATATCAGAAATGTTGCCATTCTTTTTATTTTTATCATAATATTCTATGGATGACAAAATAAAAATATGTTATTACTCAATAATTTGTTCTAGCAAGTCATGTTTGTTCACTTGAGTTCCTAGTGATTTTTTCCAGAATTTGTGCTTGAATACCGAATTGTTCCGGTTGGAACAGTTTGAGTACTGAGATACTGCTGTATTTTGCTTGTCATTTTTATGAGTGATTACTTACCAGCAGTTAAAAAAAAGTTTAATAACACTTACCTAAAAATGTTTAAATAAACTTTACTAAAGGCTGGAAGGCCAAGCAGTCAAGGCAGCAGCCTACTGCTCTGGGAAACCCAGGATTGAAAAATCCCCAAGAATTTTTCAGAGGGTGGTCCATCCAGATATGTCAGGCCCTATCCCTTGCCACCCAGCTGCCCCATTGTGGGCCTAGGCAAACCCATAATGGGCTTGTCAAAAGAGGCCTGCTTAGTGCTTACGAGGTAGAAAAAGTTAAAAAAAAAAAAAACTTTACTAAATATGAAAATTAATGTATAAAAACAAAACACAGTGACAGTCTTAAGGGCAAAGTCTGAAAGCAATGACAACACTTGGTTGATAGGAAAGTTAGTGAAATTTTTTCTTCCTTGTCCCATCAGTTTTCATTGATGTAAACCTGACAAAAGCACAAAATTAATTGAAAATTTCAATATTCTAAAATTTCAGACAACATGTATGCTTACTTGAATAAAAAAAAAATATAGAATAATGGAGTTTATACTTAAAAATTGTGAAATTTTATAGACAATTTCCCAAATCATGTTAGAGTAACACTGTGTTGTACAAAGGATACCTGTATATGTAGCTTATATCAAAACCATTAATTGAATGACTTAAAAACTTACTAATCTTTGTTTCTGTAATTTTTCTCGAATTGCTTTATCTTCTGGGAGGACATCACACAATAAATAAAAGTATTCACTAGTAGCTAAATAAAAGTACAAAAGAAAAATCATTAAATAATAATTTTTCATTAATAAACTTAAAAATAAGAACATTTAGTAATATTAAACAAATTATAAAAATTAGAAAGTCATTTATGGTGATTAGGAACAATTCTTTATAATTAATAACTTTACTAACATGGATATCATAGATATTATTAATAAATCAGAATTAATGTAAATATATATACATATATTAATTGTAACAAAGAGAGTAATAATATACAAAACATTAAATATCAAGGCAACATAATGTTTAAAAAGTAATTTTATTTTTCAGAGTTAGATAGCTGGATGGCATAAGGTAAAGCACTAGTCTGCTACTCTGGGGACTCAGGTTCAAGTCTGGATCAGCTCTGAAATTTTCATAAGCAGGTTGACCCAGATATGGCAGACCTCCCTTAACATTCAACTGTCCCTGTCCTTATTGTGGACCTTGATAAACCCATGATGAGTATGGAAAAAAGGCCCTGTTATTACCCACAGGACAGAAATAGTTCAAAAAGAAAAAAGTTAGAATTTAACAAAAATATATATTAATGAATAAAAGTTAATCTATCTGATATATGATATACAAATAGTTAATTATAACAGTCTATATGTTTTAAAAATATATATATGATTTCAAAATTAAATTTCTCTTGAATTACAATAATTGCATATATATATATATATATATGCATGAAATTATTGTAATTATAATATTGTAATATATATATATAATCTGCAGAAAACTGCTGTAACAAAAATAAAAATGCCATATATCCTGCACTTCTGAAGCAGATAACATGTATGCAGCTTAATTTAAAAACATGGTTTCAGACATTCATTTTTTCCATGTTTCTTTCATTTTATTTTCATTATCAATTTGTTTTGTTGTAAATGTAATTATAAAATAAGTGAAATAGAAAAAGCAATGTTTAAGATGGAACTGCATAAACTGCATTAAGTTTTAAAAATAATATCTGTTCAATCGTATGTGGTAAACACCTGATGGATTATAATCAAGCATAATAATACAACATGCTGTAATTTTAGTTTTTCCATTCAATTGTTGTTTTGTAAGCATTATGAAAAAATTTTATTGTTCTCTTCTATCTTGAAAGCTATTTAATATTTTAAATTAAACATGAATGTTACTTTAATTAAAATAAAATATATTTCTACAGTATAGAGTTTACAGAATGAATGAAATGAAATAAATCAAAACAGTATCATCTTTGATTTTAATTCTGTTAGCAAACTGACAGAAAGTAATAATGTTGTGTATAAACAAAACACTACATGGTCAAACTAGATATATCATTTTAAAAATATTATTATTTTAGTCTTGAAAAATGTATCATTAAATAATATTAATTAACAACATAACTAAACATCAAATAAGAGATAATGTTCTTGTATGGTATTGTATACTTAACATCACATTCTGACAAATACAGCTGCTTTAATTAATAACTGCATCAAATATAAAGTTCAATCTTAAACCATCTAATAGACTATATGAAATTTCATAACTGATTATTTGATTATTTTTTAATATTTTTATTTCATTTATAAATACATAAAATATTTATTATTTATAAGTTATTTTATTATTTGTAGTTAATCTTTAGTAAGCATTCTTTTTATTTCTAAAATTTACTAAATTATTAAAACAAAAAGTTCATTAAAACTATTATCAAATTCATTTATTTATTAAAAACAGTCACAATTTAAAAATTCCAACAAGATTATAACTAATTATAATTACTAATTGTAAATTGTTATTATTACATATTAAGTATATATTTTCAAAAAATGTTATGGAAATTAGAAATAAATTTATTACCAGAACTATTCTTCTCACTATTTGTTTTTATAACTGGACAGAATTCTACAATTGTGCCTTCTCCAAACCTTTTTCTCCAATATTCAATGTAACTGAAAAAGTTAAAACTTTTCAAATAAATTGTAAGCAATAAATTTTTATTTTGATAGTCAAATTTAAAAAGTGCAAATTTAATCTGACATCTCATCTTTATGAATTGAGACTGATATTTAATGATAAAATATATTTTGATTATTAATTTTAGTAACAGTTATAATGCTACTCTTTATTAATATATAAAACTTTAAAATTGTATAGATATTAAATCTAATCAATTATATGTAATATAAAAGTGAAGACATCAAAAATTTAAGTTTTACATAAAAATTTGTTTTAAAACAAATAGAGGAAACTTCTGTTTTATAACCTAACTGCTTCCTTGAAATCCATTAAAAAAGAAGCATTCCTTTTGCTATAGGCTCCATATCAAATTGAAATTACATTCCTGGACATATGAATTTGAACTAAATTAATATAATTTTATTAGGGTAACCTGTAGCAGTATGGCCAGTTGGTGTTGTGAAATTCTTCAACTTTAACATAGCATAGTCAGCCACTATCATCTTCAGACTAATTAAAAAGTACGTATAAACAAATCAAAAGCATATAAATAATAGTGTGCTCTGGTACAAAATGTATAATAATGTCTACAACATTCAGATTGCATACAACTCATCAAGTTTTGGGAAATTACAAAAATATGACAATCAAGCATTTTCAATATGGCACCATTCTGCTCCCATTGTGTAATAAACTATATAAATTAAATAAAACTATATTCAGATAGCTTTATTCTTGACTTCAACATTATTTTATCATCAGTATCATTTGGATTACCTTTATAATTTAGATCTAGCTTTAATTAATAATGGCTCCATAAATAAACAATAAATACTTAGATACACACTCATAAAATTTAAATATTTTAAAATTTTTTGGTGTGAGATATGGGAATGGCTTGCAATATACTTGTAATTTTTCATAACCTTTGGTCTAAATATGTCTGCTTGTATTTCCTACAGCCATCATTCTTTTGCAAGTGGTATACTTCTTGCTCTGTCTATTGACAAAATTTTAAGATTGAAATTTGAAATCTATATCACAATTTTGTGACTTTTATCAAATTTTTTCACAACAAAACGTTTTCCCACTATGTTTTTCATTGATGTTTTTACTATTATTATTAAATAATTTAATATTTAGTTCTTTTAAAATGTAAATACAAATAAGAAAATAAGTATAAACATCAAACTACTTTAGTATAATGCACTTTTTTACAATGTGCAAATTTGAATATTTACTGAAATGGCATATAAATGAAACAAAAACTAAAATTTTGTTGCACACATCATTATATATCTTAGTCAAAAGACATAAAACAATAAATAGAATGAAAATAAACAATTACCCAATCAGAATTGAGCACACATGCAAATTTCTTCTGAAAGGTTTAGATAGATGACTGACACAACTCTATTGCAAAAAGGTATAATGCACATGGGACAAGATACTACTAATTTGAGGTAGAAAGCATATATTTTAAATGAAATAAATTAAAAATATGATTAAAAATTGCAGCCCAGCATTGTGATGATGTCACAATAAATAATTAACTCATTTTTATACTAACTATAATTTTATGAGTGCTTCCTTGGACTGCTTTGGAGAAAAATTTCTAACCTTTTGAAAGAAATTCCTCTTTCAAGGTCAAGATAAGATGGTGCTTTCAATATGGTTATCATTATCAGCCAGCTAAAGGGTTTGTACATTGAGAATGACACAGCAAATGTTCTAAAAATTTTTTAATTGAAATTTTGCTTTTAAATGTTTTTCTGTAGAACAATTTTAGTGGATCTGAAAATGGAACAAAGTCTCAGAAAACATTTATCTTTCTAATGGTACTTTCTGACTTCTTTAATTTTATGAGTGTGTATCTATGTAGTTATTGTTCTATAATTTTCTCTTCCTGTATTCTCTGTTATGTAAAATGAATATGTAAAATTTTATTTGAATAATATATTGATTCTCAATTCAAGTTTTCTCATTTACTTTAAACTTTAAATTACAAAACTTGGAGAAAAACATTAACAAATTTCTATAAAATTAAATGTTAAATTTATTTTGGCATAATATAATAAATTTGAAAATAAAATTAAAAATTTATAAACTTTACCTTTTGAAGTCTGCAATTAATTTAACTTTATCTATAACAAACTTATGTTCTTTAAATAAATGATGAATAAACCTATTATGTTGTGGATCTGACTGTATTGAAAATGTCTCGTCACAGAACAAACATGTTAAAGAATTTTCTGGAGATTCATCTGCAGAAGTGTCAATTTTTCTTGATGGCAGAATAAGAGGTTCAAGGACATCATCTACATTTTAAAAAATTTAAATTTAATATTCAATAACAATTTTAATTAACATTAAAAATAATTAATAAATTTGTTACAGAAAATATTAATCATATAGTTTTTTATTTAAAAAAATGTTAATAAACTTTATAATTGTCTACATTTTTCATATAGAATCAGAATTACAGTATATTTTAAGTTAATCTAATATAAAGCTCCTTCACTGACTTACTGACATGAAATGTTTGAGTAGAAGCAATTTCTCACAGAAAAAAATCCAGCAAAAAGTTGTGTAACTTTCCTGGCAAAAAATATCTGCTTAAGAAACAAATTAGGAAAGTTTAAAATTGTGTGTGGTATCATCTATTACAATATTTTATTTAAAAAGTAACCTTTATTAATTATAATAAAAAGGCAAAAGCTTAATTTTGAGAGTACAGATGAGTTTTTTAAAATAGTATAGATGCCAATAACAATTAAAAGTTTCATTGAGTCCAACGCCACTCAAATTATGACACAACCCTCTCAAACTTTAAGTTTAATAGCATCAATGCCCCTTATATACAAGTTACCAATGCCAAATTTTATTTTATAATCTTTACCCCATCCTTTAATATTAACACCTAAAAATAAGAAATGTATTTAGAGTTTTACACAAGGAAAGTCTGAATATGATTCAAATTGCTCAAAAATAGAACTATTACCATTTCACTGTTAGTTACAACATTGAAGAGCTTAAGATGTTGTGGGCATATCCTTGCCAAGGATGATAAATTCTCTGCCATTTGAGTCAAAAAAATCAATTTTCTATGTCTCAGAAATTAATGATGGAGTGAAAGCATCGACAGGAGTAGTCACAGATCCATGCTTTGTTCATAACAGGCTCTATCAAGCAGGAATTTTTGTGCATAAGACTAAGCAGAAACCATTACTAACACAGAAAATGAACACAGCAAGATTGGCAAGAGGTATTTGTATCTTGTTTTTATGAATATTTTGCTAAATTCTTTTTGCTTATTAAGTCTTCTTCAAGCATATCCTCAAAACAGGTTTCTACATTTTCAAAAATCATATATGTCTGTCATATAAGAATAAATTGCAGAAACCAAACTTTGCAACTGTTATTTTTCTTCTGAATTTATTACTACCTGATACTTATCAATTTACATTATCCACATCATAGGCACACCTGCATTATTTCATTCATATAAATCCATCAGGCTTGCAATACTTTAAAATACCTATATAGTATTTTTTTTTGTCTTATCACTAATTACCCTATTCTTTATTACATTTTTAATTGTTATTTACAGTTATTTAATCACTATATGACAAGGATTGCACAAAGTTTTGATCCAATGAAAAAACTTAGTTAATATAATAATATGCATAGCCAAACAATTGCCTTAAATACTTAGGCTATAGCCCAAGTATATATAGGGCTTTGGGTTGTTTAATATACTTAGTATCATAACTTTGTTTATTTAAATGTTCATAAATTACAGTAAATGCTCTTATTTGTAGCTTTCAACTTCTAAACACTTTCTGACACAGTTCTTTGAACTCTTACGGTAGTTATACCAACATTATTACACAAAGACCTAACTTCATCCTTTAGAACATCACTATTTCTAGGACAATTTTTGTAAACTACTGACCATGATCATGCAAAAGTACTAAAATATTCTAATAAAAGCCAACTTTTGTACATCCTGTATATAAAATTATTATTTATATAAAAAATTATTATAAACTAGATGTGGATATAATCATAAAATGATAGAAAATGGGGTTGGACAGCCAAAGTCAGACTCCTAGTATTTCATAAAATTTTACTCTGAATATTTATCATACATATTAATATTTACACTTTCGTTGCATTATTCATAGTCAGATAAAATCTTGTAATTGGATTTTAATAGAATGATTTTGAAATGATCCCATACTTTTGTTTAATGTTTTCTTGATGCTTTAAACATATTCCCCTTCTACAGAACAAGACAACTGAATAAAATAAAAATCTTCAGTAGTACTTAAATATAAATACAAAAATACGTAACACTGCAATTCTCTGTCATACAACTGTATTGTCATGCCTATTTGCTGTGACAGATCGAAAAGATCAGTCACAGCAAATATGTATTTATTTATGCATCAATGTGTAATGCATAAATAAATATAGTATGTAACGTATCCTGTGAACCTATGACCAGTGTGTGACGAAAAAAACAAAAGAGAAAGTTCACCACTAACATTTTCAAACCGCTCCGAGTTCTTCAGGTATTAAATGGAATTTCTGATGGAAATAGATGATTTGTATTATGAAAAGTTGAAGAATCATTCAAATCGAGGTTTGTTTATTCGTCACACACTGGTCATAGGTTCACAGGATACATTATTTAGTACACTCTGGTGTTTTGTGTTATTGTTTACTAAATACAGTGTGTGTACAATACTATGTTGTTACCCTATAATTTCATTCATTACATGTTACTCCACTTATCTGAATTTTTGATTATCCAATTCAGATAATCAGAAGTCTACTGTAACCATTATATATGATGATAATTTCTATTTCCCAAATATCCAAATTATAGTGATGTTTTAAGTTTACTAAAAACATTTCTAAACAGTGCTGATTATTTTAGTTATATATATTTTTAAAAACTTTTGATATTTTATTTAATAAAGTCTTCATATTAAAACACAATTTTAATTGTGATAATTTAAAAAGGTTAATTAGAAAATCATTGATAATTCTAAACTCTACTTAAAGAGAAGTTTATGAAGTTTAAATTAAAATAAAGAGAAAGAATTTTCATACTTCTAAGGGATTGCCAATAAATTACATAATACTATTTTTACACATCTCATCCCACTAATGATCTGTAATATTATCATACTAACTTACCTCCAAAATCACATAATGCATATCTTCAGTCAATTCTTTTAAGTGTACTAAGGAATAATTTATAATACATAGTTCTGGAAAATCTGCCTGTCTAGAATTTTGAAGACCTCAAAAATGAGATAAATTTAAAACTGAAAAATCCAGAACTATTTCTCAGAACAATGTTAAAAATCAACTGTTTTCTACTTTATTAGAGACAGCTAAAGGCTTGTAAAACATGAGAAATGCCATTGCACCAATTACTTCCAAATGCAATCAGTCACACTGCAATTCCATTAAGCCTATTGCATGTTTAACAAGCATCCTGAGATAAAATTTTATACATTGCAAAGGGTCATATGTAGACCATTCTTTGATTCTTTTACTCCTATGAGCATTGTTTACAGCTCTGATAAGATCTCAACTATCTCATTCTGAACTACATTTGTACTGAAATTTTTAATTTGCACAAAACTAAGGAAACACTTAAATCAAGGGTGTCCAACCCAAGGCAAGTTCCAATGCGGCCCAATAAACATGTAAACAAAACCGACAATTTTTTTATTTTATTTATTTATTTCAACTGCATAAACTAAAAAAAAAAAAAAAGAAGTTTTACAAAGCCATAAACCTTTATATATATTTTATTTTTGAGTGAAAAGGAAATATTTTCAAATATTTGGAAATGTGTGAATGAGGAAGGAATACTAAATAAAGCTAAAGTTGAGACTCAAAGAATTATAGACCTAAATTCGGAGACAGGAAAGACAGGCCAAAAGATAAAAAGTAGTGAGAAAGGTTAAATAGGCCTTCTGTTATGCAAATATTGACCCTTAATTTTCCAACCTTCCCCACTTTTTTATCTTTTGTCCTTTCCCCGAATTTGGGTCCATAATCCTTTGAGTCCCAACTCCAGCTTTATTTAGTATTCCTTCCAGCATTGCATGATTTGGCTACTTTGCGCCAAAGTTGGCTGCCCTTTTTTTAGTTTGGCGTAAAAAATATCATTTGGCGCATTGGCTACTTTTTGGGCTACATATTATTTATAAATATATNAATAAAGTAACTTTTATGAATAAAAAATAATTTAAAACAATCTTAAATAATTAAATTTTATTATAGTAATCAATATGGTAATATCATCACTGGCAAAGTTAAAAGTTATCAATATGAAAAGTTTTTATCAAGATTTTCCAATATATATATTCATGAACAAATAATAAGCATAATTGTCCAATTCATAAATAGGAGTCCAGATACAGCCCAGAAAATAATTCTGGTTGAATTAAACCAGAATTATTTTCTGGTTTAATTCAACCAGAAATATTTTCACTGTCAGGAAAGTCATTGACAAGTGCAGCCATAAATGCATGAGCATTATGTGAAAATAATTCTGGTTGAATTGAATTCACCAGTGAAAATAATTCTGGTTGAATTAAACCAGAATTATTTTCTGGGTTGTACCTAAAGAGAGCAAAGAACCCAATACAGTCCCATGAACATTGTGAAAACAGATCAGTTTGCAGGTGTTGGTATCACAGCCTAGAGTGGCATCATGCTAAATGGCTGCATTGAGATCCACATTTTTGCAAGGGCTGCTATTACTGCAAGAAGATAGAAATGAGGTTTTGGAACTCCATGTAAGTTTTCTGAGATACTGTGGGTGCAGATATCATTTTCATAAATGCTAATGCTCATGCATTTATGGCTGCACTTGTCAATGACTTTCCTGACAATGAAAATATTTATCATATAGAATGGCCAGCAAAATCTCCAGACCTAAATTTTATAGAACATATTTGGGATATTTTGAACAAGTTGGACCCTGTTAGACTCCACTAATACTCTGGGACTTCAAGATCCTCTTGTTCAAGAATAAACTCTTTGCTCCCAACAGAGCTGATAAACAATGTTATAATCAGCATGAGCAATCACTGTGCAGCTTGTGTGCAAGAGGCAACCATATTAATAATTTTCTATACAAAAAGATTTATGATAATGCTTCATAATTTTTCTTGTTTTTGGTTTGACATAATTTAGGTTAATATTTTGCTTTTCAATTGTTTTGTTACACAAAAAATATAATATTCTGCTTGTATGTTAAGTATCATGCTGTTCTGATCAGTAGGTT